TTTGATCACTGACCTATCATTGAGTTTTGCAATTTTTTTTAAATTTTTTTTCTACTTTCTGTTTTAAAAGTTTCCTAGGGCAAGTTTGTGTGTTCGTGTGTGTGTGTGTGTGTGTGAGAGAGAGAGAGAGAGAGAGAGAGAGTAAGAGAGTGTTTGTGATTGTGTGTACAAAAGGAATACTTCAAGCTGTTCGGTTTCTTTGATTTTAATCAATCTCTTATAATGGACAAAAGGATGCAAAAACAAAGTTCTGTGAGTTTTTCGTAGGTTTCACCTCAATTAGATGTTTAGAAATGAAAACACCTTCATTGTTTTTTAATAATATATTTTTTTTGTTACTTCCGATTTAACACTCTCATAATCAATGCTAAAAAATTTTTTTCTTAACATGGCAAAAGAGTTAAATTATAAACTTCAAAATTTTAGAATTTCTGTCAAAGCTGCAATTTTTCAAAGCATATTTTTACTTATTTAACCGATACATGTAATCTTAATCGTTTACCTAACGTTCAGTTCGACATAATTTTGAAACTAAGCCTAATAACTTACTAAGTTTTGAACAAAAGTGCAAAAGCTAAGAGATAGTAATTTTTGTTATTTAGGACCAGTGAGTGACCATAAATTTGAAAGTAAAATTAAATAGAAGTTATTCCGACTATTTGAATAATGGGGCGGAGTTTGGTATTCTGGTGTGTTTTAGTTATTTTTCCGCTTAAAACCAGGATCCACAAATAATCATCTGCAAGGGTCGAGTGATATGTCATACCAAAACCTTTTCAACTTTGATTTAAAAGACATTTAAAATATTTCATAAAATTGTCCCAATAACGAGAAAAACGTGTTCAAAATTTTTAATTTTTAGTCTTAGTTCGAGCGAGCAGGTTTACAATAGCTGATTTTATTAGTTAATAGCTTACAGTAGTTTAAGTTAAGCACATGGCTGTCGAATATGTCGAAGCTCAAGTTTTGGTTCAGATCATTTTATCACATCAAGCAGAAAAAAAAACAACACTAATTTGTGTTCAAAAGTTTTTGTTGTATTTTTTTAAGACTATTGTCGAAGCATTCTGCGCTAATTGCACAGCAACCAGCTATCTTTGCTCAAAATGCGTCTAAATTTTTACTTTAAAATTAACAAGTTTTGAATGCTTCATAAAGTACCTTTTCGGCAAATTTTTTCATAAATTAAAATATTGTTCGAAAAGTGTTTGTAATTAAAAAAAAAATTTTTTATACTTATGTTTTTCTTTTTCTTTTTGGAGACTAATTTGTCAATCATTCTGTCCTTGTTTGGTTTTTTGTGATAAGAAACTGAGTAACACTTGGACAAACAGCGAGTGTTAAATAGACCAAAACTGGAAAAATCAAAAGCCAGACAACAAAAACTTGACACTACTTTTACAAAAAAGCTAACTCATTGTAAGCGATTTTTTTGGTTCATAAAAATTTAAAATTTTTGAGTAACCTATAGGATTTGTAGGTTTCCAACAAAAAATTTGTAGTTCTAATTCGATTCGAACCCTAACAGCTGGTTCCCAATAAAAAATCAAAACAATGCATGCAACTGTGCTTTTGTTGTAGAACTTTTGGCATTGTAGGAGCAGAACTCTTAAGAAGTTGGAACCATATTAAAGAAAACTTCAACGTTGATACTCACACAATGGTTCCTGATTTTCAGTCTGATGTATATTTTTTTCAACATAACTGCAAAAAGTAATCATAACAACTTATAAAACCTATTTTCAAATGAAGCAGCGAAATGTTAGGCTTCGATTGGTTCTTTATCTTATGATCATTTAGTAGGACTTCGAAGAAACGATGGAGTAATTTGTTCGGCTTGGTATTTTTTCTGACCATTGAAAATGGGGAGGAACTTTGTGTTGTATTAAAGTATGTTTTTTTATTTTTTCCACTTTTTTGCTCGCAAACTGAGGTACCACAAATTATGATCGAAATGGAATGAGTTTTATATCATATTTAATTAATTTTACTTATAACTTCAACGACATAAATAATACTTGAAAATTTTTTCTCCGTGTCGAGAAAAACCGGTTTTTAATTTATGATTTTCGGTTTTATTTCGAATTAATAAGTGAGCTTGTAGGATCTCAGTAGCATATTTACGCTTACTTAGTTTTACTCGATTAAAAAAAGTTTTTTTGTCCTTTTTCCACAAAAACTCTTTTTCAGTTGGCTTCTTTTACTATGAGTGGCAAAAATGCCTATATTCTTGCTTTTTTGGTTCAAATTTTCACAGCACGTAGAAAAAACTTACCTTAAGTTGTAGAAAAAAAATTAGTTTGGTATAAATTTTTAAGACTATGATTAGATTATTATGTGTTAATTGCACACTAATCGGCTATCCTTGTTATAAAAAAAAACATTTTTACTTTAAGACAACCTAAATTTGAATTTTTCTCTTAGCGCTTGTTCGGCAAAAAATTTTCACCTAAAACATTGTTTAAAAAAGTTTTTTTGTTCCGACTTTCGATACGAAAGTAACGGAATATTTGTGCTCGGGGTGGGTTTTCTTTTCTTCACACAAATTTCGACTTTTTAACTAGCCATTTTTGACGGAATTTTTTATATCATTCACAAGGTATTGTTGTCCTGAGCTTAAATTTGAAGAGATATTTCACCTGTGATAATTTTTTGTAAAGTTATGAGGGTTCAAAGATTGTCATTTTGGCCATTTTGACCAATTTGGGACAATTAACGCGCGATATAATTCGCGCTATTAACGCGTAAGCGGAGATTTAATCCGTCTTATAAATCGTTCCAAATTAGTTGAAAAAAGCCATAATTGATTTGTTACAAGGAACAAAATCTCTCTTTTTGCACTTAATATGGCGTGTGGGGGGATGATTTTCATTTAAAAAATTTCAAATTTTAGAAAAAAAAATTTCATTTAATTTTTTTTTGTTGTTACTGCTGCTCCATAAACCATGAAAGGCAGTCGGAACAATCAGGGCTTCGCCCTGATACGAGCAACCTAGTTTCTTTTTTGGGGACAAATGTAAATCAATCCTAGTTTACTAGTTTCCTACGCGAGTTTATAGTTCCCGAATTAGACCACCCATTAAAAACGAACTTTTTAGAAGGAGAGTAAAAAAATCTTTTTTCAAGACTATGCAGAGTAACCGGCTTTTTTTGTCTATGCCTGGCATTTTTTCTTTTCTTAGGGTTAATTCTTGCGATATCGATGAAAAGATGAAGTAAAGGTAATCTGTTTGGTTTTATTTCGCGTAAAACAAAATGACATTTTTTACCTAGCCGTCTTTGTATACTACGTAAGATTTTTTTAAAAAGATATGGGGGTTCAAACTGGTCCATTCTGATCAATGTCTGGATGTGTTTTTAGTCTTAAACACGTGAGCGGCAATTAAAACCGTCTCAGAAATCGTTAAAAGATTTCTTCAGACAAGTTTGTAATCTTAGTAAAACTGGTAAACGCTATTAGTTCAGTTCAATTTTTCACAGCGGTTGGGATGAATTTTCAACATTACGAAACGAGGCCATCTTGCATTTTTTGTAAGTTGTAATGGATTCCGCAACAAGGTTTGCTCTCTTTGATCTTTCCTTTTTCTTTCGTTTTCTTTCATCGTTACTCAAATTTTCAATATGTTGCAAATTGCTCGAATCAGGGTGAAGCCCTGAATGTTTTGACTGCAAGTTAAGGTCTATGGAGCAGTAATAGCAGGAAGTTTGAATAAAAATTTAAAATGTAATAAAAATAAAAAGTAAAAAGAACCTTTTTTTTACAAAAACAGTTTGAAATTTTTGTGAGAATCATCTCCCCTCGCGCCATATAAACTAGAAAAGGATAATCTTCGCTCCTAGTAACAAATCAATTATGGGAAATAAGTTTCGTTCAACCAATTTCGAACGATTTCTAAGACGGATTAAATCTCCGCTTACGCGTTAATAGCTCGAAACATATCGCGCGTTAATTGTCCCAAATTGGTCAAAATGGCCAAAATGGCAACCTTTAAACCCTCATAACTTTACGAAAAATGATCGCAGTTAAAATATCTTTTCAAATTTTAGCTCAAGACAACAATACCTTTTGAGTGATATAAAAAAAATTCCGTTAAAAATAGCTAGTTAAAAAGTCAAATTTTGTCTGAAGAAAACAAACCCACCACGAGCACAAAAATTCCGTTACTTTTAATACGAAATTCGGAACAATAAGACTTGTCCTGGATTTTGGACCAATTCGTGCTCCCATCCAGTGCGATTTTGGCCTCGCAAGAAAAATAACCTATTTTTTGATTTTCTCAAAATTGATTTCGAAAAAAATCAAAATTATTTAATTGAACTTCTTCATATGGCAGTAGGATAATTCAAAGCATTATTTTGACTCGGTCAGTCTTGTTGTTTCGCCTTTGTAAATTACTGATTTTGTCCGAACAATTTTTTACCACCTGAAAAATTTCAATGCCGGAAGCTCAGTTAGAAATTTATTTTCCCGTCCTTGCTTTTGCATAAGCTTATTAAGGTTTTCAATGAGCAGTGTTGCCATTTGTGATAATTGTTGCGGTAGTTATAGTTAATAGAAAACAAAACTTTCAATTTTCTTTTCACGCGAAGAAAGTCTGGCGATCAACCCCGCTCATATATTATTCCAAACTGAAATTTGACGCTTGCAGCTTGATCACAAATTTTGCTCGCAGCTCAGTGGATATCACTTGGTACTTTTTTTAAGGAGTGCGTGAACTTGATCTGGTGTAAATTTATTTTTGTTTGTTTTAAAAAATAGGGTTTTCGCTTTCAAGTCTTTGCTCTGGTTCAAGTAGTTAAATCGTATCAAAACTTAGGCTTACACGTAATTGCATTTGTGTACAATTTTTTATGCCTTGCATCTTGCGCAGTCAATTTTGCTAAAAAGACATATTACCCTAGCCTTTTGGTAGATGGAAAAATATTTCCGGTAGACCCAAAAGGTATCCGCTTCCCAGATTGTGAAAATTTTAGGCGCGATATTGAGAGCATTAAAAATGTCACGACAAAAAATTTTATTATTCACACATCAAATGAATAACTTTTGGATTTAGGACCAAATTAGGAATTAAGTAAATTCAGCTAGGTTTCGTAACCTAATTAGTCAAGACAGTTTTGAACAGTTTCATATCACCAGGCTATCTTTGTGCTCGGCAGAATCGACCAGAGATACTTCACTTCCAATCACCAACAGTCCTAGGGAACCATTTCCGTAATTCGGCTCTGTATAAATATCTTCCGAGCCTCTTTCGAGACCTATTTCATGACTCATTCTTCCGTATATTGCATTGGATTCCAAACTTTGTTCACTCGTGTTTGTTCGCGAAGATGACGTCATCTCCGAGATGCTTTGTTTCAAAGACTCGAGAATCGTCATGTTGCTAACCGATCGTTCTTCGTTTGTCGGCTCGCTGTAGTCGTTGTTAGAGTACGCCGAGACGCTTTGCGAGCGAAGTTTGACCCCGACTCTTGATTTATTCTCCGACAAGTGACTCGTGTAAGTCGTGTTATTGTACCAATCTCTGTCTTCCGAAGCTGATGTCGTGCACGAAAGAGTCCTCGTCTTTGTTTTTCTCTGACGTTCGTCGAAAGTTCTAGAAGATTCGGTTTCGTTCATGTGATAATACGAGTCTTCGATGTCTTCGTAAATGTGTTCCAAACTTTGCTTTCGAGGTCTTCTTTCATTTTGACTCTTAAATGAGAAAATATTCACAATTTTTTTTCAAATCAAAAAAGTTATCGCCATCCCCCCAATTATTTAAAACGAAACAATAAGGTGGACAGAAATCTTAGGTGCCCCTGTGGTCATCGATGCCAGCTTGGTCTACAAGCAACCTTGGAAAACCCCATCATGAAAACTTATACCATGTTAACCTCAAGATTTATAAATTTTAATCTAGCTCCCAACTGAACGCAATTTTAAATGTTCAAAGATCTGATGTGTTTGGTTTTTTGTCGGATTAAGTATAATTTGACTCTTTAAAAAATAATTTTGAGACAAATAAACTGTTCGTTTCAGGAAACTTACTGAGTTTTGGTTGGGATCAGTTATGCTCACAGCTCCTGTTCCAACGTCAAATGTCACCGAATCCTAAAACGAAAAACTAAAAATTCCAGAATTATTCAAATGAATGATTTTATCATAAAACGTTCTCATTGTCGGTATTTTCCGCAATCGGTCCTTTAATTTGATGTTCTAATGCAACCGATTAAAATACATATACACTATAAGCCACGTAACAGTTTTTATGTCCATGGTTAAATACCTGAGATATTGAACTGATCATTACTGTATCTCTTTCCGGTTGAGCTCGATTGTCCACGTGATTGTCAAAACCCGGATTCACGAACCCATTTCTCTTCGAGTGCAAACCGGGCCCACTCGTAGATTCTCGTACACAGCCGAGTCCGTATTTCCGAATGTAAGCAAGTAGTACTAATGCGGTGAGTACGATAAATCCAATCAATAGAAGTAAGATAAGAATGAGCGCAGAAAATGTCGGCCGGTGGGATTGGTCGGATAAAAATCCATCTAAGCAAACGCAGGAAGTTTAATCGAAACCTTTTATTGAAATAACATTTGGGTCGAACTTGAAGAACTTTAAATTCTTGAATACACAGTAGATGAACTGTTCGCTCAGGATCTAGGTATGAATGAAAATCTGGGGTTCTGAATCAGAGGCGGATCTAGCATTTTCTCCAGGGAGGGAGGGGGGATTTTAGGGTGCTTGAAAACTGGTTAAAACTTAAGTGGAAACATTTTACTGTGATTACTGAGACAAGGGAACTAACATCTGGGTTGGCATCCATCCTTGTTGTGGCAGAAGAACGTAACATCATCACTGCAGTTGCACTTCCGAGCACAGTTGAGACCGAAAGTTCCGTACGGGCATTCTAAGAAAAAAAAGTATTCTTCAAACTCTGGATAACCTGGGGGTCTGGATAGCCTCTGCTAATACCGGCAAACTGAATTAAATGCAAAAAGAAAAATTTAATACAAAATTATACAATCAGATAACATAATCACTACAAAGAAATTCATAGTAACTTTTTAGATTGCCCAATTTCCTGCAAAACCGATTGTCCAAAATCAATCCTAGGAGAATTAATCAGAGCTTTCACTGTTGCTACTTCAAAACGCGTCATCATTCATAACTTACCCTCGCTGCATAGTTTTCCAGTAAATCCTTCCACTGTACAATTACAACTTCCATCAATCACATCACATGTCGCCTTGTTTTCACACATGCAATTCTGGGAACAGTCGTGACCAAACAAGTTTTCACCATCCGGGCATGAAATCTTTTCACACCTGGGCCCAGATTGGAACTGATTGCAGATGCAAACACCTGTTTTGGAGTCACAGTCGGCATTAAATGCGCAATCACAAGTCTGAACACAATTTGGACCCCACCTATGAGGGGGGCACTTTTTCTCACACTGGAGGCCTTCAAATCCAGGGGCGCATTGGCAGGATCCAGTGACTGGGTTGCAAGGTCCACTGTTGTAACATTCGACGCATTCTGACTCGCAGTTGATTCCCCAGGTGTTTTTAGGGCATGGTTCTTCGCAATGAAGTCCCTAAAATTACAAAAAAAAATAAAATTCCAGGAAATAATGGTTTCCCTAGTCGATCAAGGGAGGTTATCTTGCAAGATCTTGCAAGAATCTTGCAAGATTCTTTTAAAGAGGATGCATCTCTTTAAAAGATCTTGCAAGATTCTTGCAAGATCTTGCAAGATAACCTCCTTTAAACATAACCTTTTTTTGCAAGATCTTTAAAAATACAATTTTTTTGGGCAAAAACAGCTTTGCACGCGAAGACAACCAAGTAGCGTTTGTGGAAGAAGGAAGCAATCTTAGCTACGCATACATACACACAGCCCGCTAGGCGGTTGCCCCCAGAAAGCTTCTTTTTTTAAAACTTTTTTGTGATAGGCGGCTATCTTCAAGTTTTGATCGACTACTTATACCTTAATCTCTCAAAATAGGAAAAACACAATTTACATCAAAGGAGTAATGAACGCAAGTAAACATTAAAAAATAACACTGACGTTGTTGAAAAATCTCAACTTTCAAAACTCAAAGAAAAAAATAGAAGCCCTTTAAGCTCTTTAAATTTCTAGAACAATTTATGATGGGCGCTTTTTTGATAACATGAACCCGACTTGAGAAAACTGGATCAATAAGTAAAGTTTTTATTTTCTGGAAATCTAAAAAGTAAATTCCACTTTCAAAACTAGAAATCGATAACCGAAAAAACTAAATATCCCCGGTTTGAACTAATTAAAGCAATTCGTCACAAAAATTTTTTGGCCAATAATCCTTCAATTTTCGCAAACCAGTAGCCGCAATAATTGCGAATAAATTAAAAAGATTTGATTGGTTCATACTTTTAATCTCATTGAATAAATTAACAACAAATATGCGACTACTTTTTAACGCATGATTTTTGTCTAATTTTATTCGTTAAGCATTTATTTGAAGTGATGCAAGTAAATTTTTGAGATCAATTCGAAAAAGTTTTGGATTCTCGTTCTAGAAACAATTTTTTTGATCTTACACCTAATTTCTGTTATTTTTTTTTGTGTTTTTCGACAGAAATTTTGGGATGGTTATCTTGCAAGATTCTTGCAAGATTCTTGCAAGATAGACTCCCTCTTTCAAGATTCTTGCAAGATAACCTCCATCTTGCAAGATCTTGCAAGATAACCTCCATCTTGCAAGATCTTGCAAGATAACCCTCTTTTGCAAGAATCTTGCAAGATCTTGCAAGATAACCTCCCTTGATCGACTAGGGTTGAGTTATATTTAACTGTGTCAGTTAAAAAATGTTTGCACTTGATGAAAATTATTCAACAAAAATAGCTATTGGGGCTCTATAAAATGTTATGGGCAAAATTCTTTGCTGAGAATGCACAAAGAGGGTACCACCTAAAAACCTTTACTGGTCTATAGCTATTAGTATCCTTTAGTTGGTAGTGTATTTTCAATTATTTAATAAGGTATATTTAAATCCCTTATTTATTGATTATTCAATTACGATGAAAAAAAATTTTCGAATGAATTTGCACGCAAAAAAGAAGTCAAATTTTGCATTTAAATCAAAAATAAATAATAACAAGACTGCTCGTATCAGGGTAAAGACCTGAATGTTGCGACTGGCCTTTAAGGTTTATAGAGCAGTAATAACGTTAAAAAAATTACATGAAACAAGACTGCTCGTATCAGGGCAAAGCCCTGAATGTTCCGACTGCCTTTTCAGGTTTATCGAGCAGTAGTAACATGAAAAAATTAAATGTTGCAATAAAAAAAAAATTCTGAAATTTGAATTTTTTAAATGAAATCATCCCCCCACACGCCACATAAAGTTTAAAAGAATAGTTTTCGCTCAATGTAAAAAAAACAATTATGACAAATAAACTTCTTTCAACCAATTTGGAACGATTTCAAAGACGGATTAAGTCTCCGCTTGAGCGTTAAGAGCGCGAAATACATCGCGTGTTAATTGTCCCAAATTAGCCAAAAGGGCAATCTTTGAACCCCCATAACTTTACGAAAAATGATCACAGGTGAAATATCTTTTCAAATTTAAGCTCAGGACAAAATTACCTTTTGAATGATATAAAAAAGTTCCGACAAAAATGGCTAGTTGAAAAGTCAAAATTTGTCTGAAGAAAAAAAACCCACCCCGAGCACAAATATTCCGTCACTTTCGTATCGTAAGTCGGAACAATAAAAAAAACAAAATGAAACTTTTTTTTCTAAAATTTGAAATTTTTTATGAAAATCATCCCCCCACACGCCATATAAAGTACAAAAGGATAGAATTCGCTCCTTGTAACATATCAATTATGGCAATTGAGCTAAACTAAGCTAAGCAACCAATTTGGAACGATTTCTAAGAGGGATTAACTCTCCGCTTACCCGTTAATAGTGCGAAATATATCGCGCGTTAATTGTCCCAAATTGGCCAAAATGGCAATCTTTAAACCGCCTTAACTTTACGAAAAATGGTCACAGGTAAAATATCTTTTCAAATTTGAGCTCAGGACAACAGTACCTTTCGAATGATAAAAAAAATTCCGTCAAAAATGGCTAGTTGAAAAGTCGAAATTTGTCGAAGAAAAAAATTCCACCCCAAGCACAAATATTTCGTTACTTTCGCATCGAAAGTCGGAACAAAAAATTAAATTAAGTCATATGAAACATTTTGCTAATTTAACTTATTCAAAAGTAAAAACCGAAGCTTATCTGCAAAACTGAAAATTACTATTTCAAACTTCATCTAGTAGCAATTCTTTTTAGTTTAGCTGATTTATGTTTTTACGCTTTGTCAAGATTGAGGAAATAATATTTTGGAAGATATTTCCAAAAAAAAACAGTCATTATTGTTTACGAACAATCCACCCTGGAGCACATCTGCACCCCCCTCCAGCAACCTCTGGAACACACTCCCCCTCATTGTGACAGGGACAAGACTCACTGCAGTTGACACCACTGGATCCAGGAGCGCACAGGGAACTGCAAGTTGGGCCCTGGAAATGAACACGCAATCATAGAAATGTTCACTTAAAAACCGTGAAATGTTCACTTAAAAGTCATGACAACCGAGGTTTTTTAAAAATATAAAGACTGAAAAAGACGGACGCATTGAAATACGACTGCTCATCAACATGAAGCTCTCTTTGATCAAGCAGCTTTTCATTTTCAGTCAAATTTTGCCAAAAGAGATTTTTTTCGCCTGGCCCTTACAAGCAACATCAAGTAGTGGGTGTTGAAAATTGAGGCAGCTAGCGTGTCAATGGGAACAAGTAGTTCGACTCAAAATAATTTATACTTATTGTCAATAACGACACGTTTTTATTATTAGCAAAGAGAACTGCAGTAGTATAATTTTGAATTAGCATAAATTCAGTCAGAACCTCAACCACACACACACACACTTGTAAAATATATACTAATCAGTTTTAAAAAGTAAAGTTTTACTGATTGTTCAGTTCGTTATGGTTTCGAAGTTAATTTTCATCATTAATTATTTGCAATATTATTATTATTGTTTCAGTTGTGACTTCAGGTGGGTTTACTGGGCGGGTTTGTTCACCAAGTACTGTTTGTTGCTGGACTGGACATTGTCTCCGAACTTGTATTCCTGCTGCTTTCCGTCCCATCCAGATTGCCATCCCTGCTTTCCGTATCTCGGCTCATTCATGAACGCCGACACGACATAGTTGCAAGCCGAAATCACGTCCCAAACGGGGAGTCCAGAGCACTCTCGGATCGCGTTCGCGTACGGGGGCAACTCGGTGCACTCCAGAAGAATAGCCTTGACCTTCGGGTTCTTCTTAAGAGTATCGTTCACAAGTGCCACCATACCGGGTTGCACTTTAGCGACGTCCACCTTCTGGCCGAGAGCGACAGCCTCGAATCCCGGGATGTTCTCACAGCCGAGGATCTTGACTCTTGGGTCTACGAAAGAGAAGCCACAGGCTTTTTCGAAAGCTGGAGCCATGTTTCCTAGGGCGACTCCGTTCGCAGTCATGACAATGATTTCGTCGTCAGGAGAGAGAGTAGCTTGGATTGATTTCAACTGGAGGAGAGAACTCATCACCATGCCAACAGGGACACTCTTCTTGATTCCCAGCGCCACTTCCTGGAAATACACCATGAATCCACAGTCTCCAGTGATGACGTTGACCTTCTTCTCATTTATGAGCCAGTTGACAGAGTCGATAAACCTCTTCTGGACGTCAGCACTCATCTTTCCGGACTGGGCCATTTCGAAAGTGAGTCCTGGGACTACTTTGTAGTAGACATCGTACCCGTAGGTATCCGGGCAGTCGATGTCTCCGCACGCCGGAGGGTAGTCGTAGTCCAATCGGATGACGCCGAGAGTGGGAGCTGGCTTCAGAGGCATTTTTTCCAAGATTGTGCTTTGAGTTTTTTTAGTGAGCTACTGATTTCCAAGTTAAAGTTTCGGAAAGTGAGTTTCTATAAGTTTGAATGAAGTTTATGATTTTCTTAAATCTGTCGTCTTGGTAAGTCTCGAGAACTGTTACAGATGTGAAAAATTTACCACTGGTTGGTCAATGTTTAAAAATTTATCTGTAACTTGCAAAATATTCTTTGCTAGTTTCCACCGTCGGATAATTTCAGAAGTCCGAGTATCGCTGGTGCCAAATGTATTTTAAGAGAACTTGGCAGATTGACAGATTGGCTATGATAACTGGGATTTTCATTGAACCAGTTAGTATTCCTTTGACATCAATGGAAACATATTGGGTATAAGAAGTTTTGCCAATTTTTTCCATTTTTGTCATTTTGAGTGGCAGCATCATAAACGCTATTTTAAAAAATCAGCGCTTGATAATCAACGCTAGTATTTAGTTTTGATAAAACTTAACTTGGCTTAACGTAAAAGTTTTGAATAACTTACTAACCCCAATTTCAACTACTTGTCTGGCTGTCAATTATAAGACGTAATACTCCTTTTTTCAATTAATCCAATTTTACCTGTCTGTGAAAAATCTAATCTAAAACTAGGAGCTGATCTAATCTAGGGCATCCCACAAGGAGAAGTTTTGCCCAAAAAAAAATTTGCACACATTTCTTGGGTTGACCAAATTGTTTGCCAAAATTGCTTGGGTCTTTTGGAGAAAGTTTTGACCAAAAATTGCGCTTATTTCACTTCCTTAAAAATATGTACCAAAAGCGCTCATATAAAAATTCAATGATTAATCGACCGGAAATTCATGCGTAATATAGAATCAATCAGAATTTTTTTTAAATTTGAAACTGTAAATAGATACATAAAAGTGCAATAAATAAGGTTTTCCGGTTTGACTTAGAGTGCCTCTCTTTCTCTGTAAACCTTATTTTTTCTTATAAAATTCATCTCTAAAATAATTTTAAGAAATTTTTTTCGTTTATTATGAACTGTTCTGTTTTTATATTGTTTTTAAACATATTCATAAATGCTTTTTTTAGTGTACTCCGCTGTCGCAATGTACAAAGCCGGACAAATATATCTTCATTTCAGTTTTTCGACTCCGCATTTGCCGAAACTATCTGCACGATCAAATTCATTTCAAAAAATCTACTTTTTTCATTTCAAAAAATCTACTGTTTCAAAATTCGGTGAACGCCACAAAAGACACTTCAAGCTCACATGGTCAATCAAAATCGTCGTTGTATTAATCCTTAAATAATTTTCACTACCTTTGTTAAAATTTAAACAACATCTTGGGATCAATTGAGCAAGCCCCCCCCCCCCCCATTCTCGTCTGGGGGGGGGGGGGGGGGTTGCTTCGTGGGGTTTATAGCTCAATAGGCACTTAAGTCATGTTTATAACCAGTTGAAAATAGTTTGAATGAAGTAAAACTGTGAGCCGGATCCTCCAAAGAATGTGCAACAACAAAGATTACAAATCAAAAATAACTTTCAGAATGAAAAAACTAATGAAACTGCTGCACATAAAGCCGAATTTTTTGTCCTAAAGGACGCAACAAGGATTCCGCAACAAGGACGCTCCCTTTGTTCTTCTTTTGTTCTTTCATTCTTTTTAACTGTTTCCCCAAATTAGGCTATTATTGCGAACACTATTAGGGGGCTGCGATGAACCATTTTTTGATGTTCAAACACAAGGTTAGAGCACTAACCGTGGTAGCTTGCTCTATTTGAAGCAATTTTCGCCCAAAGAAACATTACGAGGTCAAGCTGTGCACTGGATTGGTAACCAATTTTGTCTCTGTATAATCTTGAATTTCAGAGACAAATCTTCAAACATTTAAAAACTTCGGGAAACAGTTAAAGAGAATGAAAGAACAAAAACAGAACAAAGGGAACGTCCTTGTTGCGGAATCCGCTTACAATTCACAAAACGCACAGTTTGGCCTCGCAATGAGATTATTTTTATAGAATTTTTTTTTCAGAAATTTTTCTTGATACTGGTATGGAATAATATTCAGTCAGTCAATTGATAGCGTGCTATGAACACACTATGAACCATCTACTCTCGTTTGATAATGTCTTTTTTGTAGCGTTTTATTGTTTTTGCTTGGGGAGATAGGTCAATTGGTATCATTACGGGGGGAGAACATAATGAATTTCACCAGACCGCATGAATCCCTCGAACTGATTTTGACCTTTTGCACGGAAAAATTGCAAGAATCAAAGACTTAAAAAACTAATATTCAACACTTGATATCAAACATTGACCTCAAAAAACGAGCGTTAATTACAAAAACATGGTTCTTAAATGTTTTTGGGAAAATTGTTAAATAAGTTACATTTATTGGAATGTTAGAAGATCTAAAATAGGTAATATTTGTAGAACTTTCAGCTCAAATTGTTTTCAAACTTAACTTCAGCCTCAAATTTCTGACCTGAAGTTATTTTTGAGCTATTTCTAACAAGTTTTGTGCATTTTTCAGCAACGCTTTCAATTTTTTTTTGCGATTAACAAATGCAGCTAATGGATAAAAATATTCTCAATTGAAACATCAATATTTTTGTTCTGCTTTTTAATGCGTTCTGCTTACTAATAAATTCCAAAATTCCAAATTCATAAATCAGTTTACAACTAAAACAGGCTTGAAAACTTAACAAAGCCAACAGACAGTTAAAAGCGTTGATTAACGAAGAAAATGCAGAGAAAAAAAAACAATTTTAATTTTCAAAACTTTCTACGCTTTTGAAACTTTGTATAAAATGTTTTTGAAATTCCTTTGTTTCCAGGGCCAAAATTTTTCCACAAGATAAACCAAAACTGAAGAATTGTGATCCATATAAAAACATTTATTTCGCTGAGAAGTCTAAAGGAGATCAAAACACATTTACGAAACAAAGTCATTCAAGTCTGTTCGCATCATTCTAACTCAGTTAAACAAGCTGATCAAAATTCAAACCGACAAATAATCAAATATGAGGATGAACCATCTTTATGGCTTTTTCCTGCGGGACAAAAAAAGCAAAAAAAAGCAACAGGATTTCCCCCCCCCCCTCACCAAATAGACCAAACTAAGATCATCCACCCCAGCGCTTAATATAAATGAAATTTGATAAGCCCTGTATGTTAAATGCTCGATTCTGATTGGCTGCAAAATCCCAATTTAGAATCAAATTAACACCTCCCCCCCCCCCCCCCCCCCCCACGGCTTGAGGATGTTAACTTGGTCCAATCAATGCCACCTATTCAATTTTCTTCACAATAATCATTGCCACTTAACAAGATTTTTTTCAAAGAAAACTCAATTGGAGTTTTCAATATCGTAGAAAACTTACTAAATCTAAAACAAAACCAACATACAGTTGAAAAAGAGTCATAAAGGCGAGGATAAAAAAGTTTCAAAACTTATTAAAAAAAAACATATGGAGCTTGAATTATTTCGAAAACACTTTTTGATTAACATGTTTTTATAAAAAAAAACTAAATTTGAGAAAACGGGATTAAATTACTTTATCCGCTGGTAAATCTGAAAATGAACTCCTATTTAAAAATTAGAAGTGGGTCGCGCTTTTCGTGACCTCCTATTTTTGAAATTTAAAAAGAACCGCGAAAAAAAACCAACTTTGAGCGTGAACCATTTTCAAGGCCTATATGATCGTCTATGGAAAAAGTTGCAACTGCATGTAATATTACCTGAAAAATATGAGGCTTATAGTTTTAATAGCAACCCCCCACCCCCCCCCCCCCCCCACACACACACACACACACACACACAGGAAAGTTTTCGCTGGCATCAATTCATTTTGGAATAACCTTAAGCTCAGCATTAAGCGTTGCGTGATATTTATATCAGAAAAAAATCTAATATGCGCATTGTTTAGAACAAAACTATTCATAAGAAAAAGAATTGCACGTTAATTATGCAACAGAAAAATTTCCATTGAAAATATGTTTTTTAATCGCTTATATGTTTTTTAAACGCCAAACTTTCTGCGTGTTTCTTAGGTACTTTTGAAAGCTTTCCTATTCTCAAAAAATCAAATTGAATTGATGCGAATTGCGAGCTTTTTTTCCAGCATTGCTCAAAATTTATTTCTTAATTCAAAACATATCATAATTGTGAGGAAAATGCGCCTAAAACAACTTGCCTAAAAAACAAAACAATCTTTATAGGAAGTTTACAAGAGTTTACAAGATAGCTAGGCCGGAATCCACACGTCATTTCTTGAAAGATCTTGCAAGAATCTCACAAGAGCTTACAAGATTTACAAAATCTTACAACATAGATCATTAATGCAAGAATCTTATACGCTCTCAACCTGGTCAACTAGGTTTTCTATAAGCTAGCAAACAAACGCCTTTTATAGCCTGTTTTTGTTTTAAATTTACCTGAGGCGCAGAAAACATGGTCAAAATCGGGTCTTTATTTTGATTTTTTTTGAGCTCAAAAAATCAATTTGGTGGGCGTTAAAAAATTCGGCAAATTACACATGGGCGTTAAAAAATCCGTGGAATTACACATATATGATATGTTTATCGCCTTTAAAAGTCATACAATGACAGGTTATGATTGGTCTGTTTTTCTTGTATGGTGGTCGCCCAGATCAGACGATTTCGAAACCCTTTTCACAAGGCGTCAAGTTACAAAAATAGATAAAAATCTGACCTGGAATCCGTCTTTGCATATACACTTTCCATCCACGTGATCACATCTCAAAGTGTAATTCTGTTCACATAGGCATTCATTTAGACAGTCCTCTCCGTAAGACCACACATCGCATGATTCGTCACACAGCTCCCCCTAGAACAAAAAAAAACTAGCGTAAGCGGGAAGACTTTCATGGCAACAGCGAATGATAATTAAAAAATCTATACAGCCAATCAGAATACAAAACAAAATAGTGTAGACAAGGCGTGAAAAAACTTAAGGAATAATAATAATGATAATAAATTCTTTTGAGTTGTTCCATGTGGGTAATTATTAAATTTACAAACCACTCCAACAGTTTTACTGCCTGGGAGAGCACCAGTGAACCTACAGCTGCAATCTCAAGTGTCTAAGAGCGAAATTATATAGTCATTTTTTTAAACTTGGGTGAGATATAAAAATAACTCAATGTTTGATCTTGATTATTTGATTTCATTTTAAGTGATTTTCGCTTAAAAACGAGAAAAAATGTAGGAAAAACTGTGGGTAAAAAATTTCGCATCTTACCTAACTAACATAAGATATTTCTTTGTTAATATAAGAGCTCTTCGCTTGCCAGAGTGTAGCAGTCCAAAAATTAAAAGTGAATGTTTCAAGTTGCTGGGAGGGAATGTTCAAGCAAAGTAGGATAGTTTATACATTTTCATAGCCTAACCAGTTTTAAATTTTCATAGCCTAAACTGTTGTATTTGAGTTTTTGTGTACACCTAATTCTTTTGCTGTACTATTTACTTGATAATTCGTAACAAGTTTTAAAAAATTTGAGAACTTAGAACACTTTTTTCACTAGTCCGAAAAACGGCGCTCTTGAGCAAAAAAAACAGCTTAGGGTTTTTCTTTTACCTGCAATTCATAAAACGTGATTTGTTTGAACCCTTATGCTGTGTTGTTCAAAGCAGCATGTTGTTCAGCGTGCATGTACGTTTTTATATTTGAATATGTCGTAATTATAGCCTGCATATAGTGTTTCATGCGTTCCTGGTTTGAATTGACACTCTTGATGACGGTTTGAAAAACACCTCCTCTGTAGTCAGACAATCTAGCAAAAAAATTAATGCTCCTTCTTTGGGTACGCGCACCGATACAACGCAAATGTTAGTGGGAGTAATCATGCCACTTTTGTTAACCGCTGGCTTCATTTCAGCTTACAAATTGGGCAATCTTTCGGACGAGTATGATTGTAAGTAGTTTATTTGACTCTCAGCTTTTGTCTAACCGTAAGGACAACATTGTGGTTTGGAAAATTGGTACAATTGCAAATAACTGCAGGCAGGAGATTCGTTGAGTCACCCATATATACGACCAGCTTTTACGGAATCGAACTCTCTTTTACGCGATCAATATAGTTTAATTATGATATTTAAAAAAACAAATTGTGTTCGCTGCTGCATTTTGAGACATCCCGTCATCAAATAACGAAATTAATAATAACACCCGGTCCTTACACTTGGATATGTCTCCTATGCTCTAAACCTCATATTCAACTTTTTCGGCTGAAATTTTTTGATTGTCTGGCTTGATCATTGAGGGCCGGCAAAAGTTTTACTACTTCATGAAAAATACTTCCGCTTTAAGTCTCAACGTTTTTGATACTCAAAAAACTGCTTCCTGATCCAGTAGGACTATTCAGTTGGTCCAGTTGTGAAGACGATTATAGTGTGTTTTTAACAAAGACTGTTTTATTTATATATAAAAAAACTTTTTTGCTTCCTTCAAGAAATTTATATTTCAATTATTTAATCAATTTGGAACATGCGATGTAGGATGATTTAAATTTTTACTTCTCTAATCAACTTCAAACGCAATTCTATGTAAATTGTAACTTCCTTCGGACAATTATGATTGCAATTAATTTATTTGACTCTCAGGTTTTGTCAAACCGTTAGGACGACATTGTGGTTCGGAAAGTTGGTACAATTGCAAATAACTGCAGGCAGGAGTTTCGTTGAGCCACCCATAATATACGACCAGCTTTTACGCGATCAAAATCTTTTTACGCGGTCAATATTGTTTAATTATGATATTAAAAAACATTGTGTTCGCTGCTGCATTTTGAGACAATCCGGCATCAAATAGTGAATTTAATAATAACACCCAGTTTTACTTGAATATGTCTCTTATGCTCTAAGCCTCATATTCACCTTTTTTCGGCTGAAATTTTTGAATTGTCTGGCTTTATCATTGAGGGTCGGCAAAAGTTTTACTACTTCATAAAAAATACTTCCGCTTTCAGTCTCAACCTTTTTGATACTCATAAAACTGCTTCCTGCTCCAGTAGGATTATTCAGTTGGTCCAGACGTGAAGACGATTATAGTGTGTTTTTAAGAAAAAATGTTTTATTTATATAAAAACAACTTTTTTGCTTCCTTCAAAAAATTGATATTTCGATTATTTAATCAATTTGGAACTTGTGATGTAGGATGCTTTAAATTTTTACTTCTCTATTCAAACTTCAATCGCAATTCTATGTAAATTGTAACTTCCTTCGGACGAGTATGACTCTCAGCTTTTGTCTAGCCGTTAGGACTAGCCGTTAAATTGGTATAATTGCAAATAACTGCAGGCAGAAGTTTCGTTGAGTCACCCATAATATACTACCAGCTTTTATACAATCGAACTCTTTTACGCGATCAATATTGTTTAATTATGATATTAAAAAAAACAAATTGTGTTCGGTGCTACATTTTGAGACATCCGATAAAACCAAAAAACTTCATGGCTTGAAACTTTTTGAGCCATGAAGTTTTTTCTGATTTGAGAAAAGAGTCCCAGTGTCGAGAAATATTGGTATCGCAAAATCAGACATCACAAAATTTGATGCCACTTAATTAATTCGAAATGAACCAAGTTTTATTTTACTGTATCTTTCATGTTATTATATTTATTGGCTATTTTTCATTCTTGTAGTTTTTGTATAAATCAACCGCCCTTCACTCAAAAAGGCAAAAGCAAATTCAAAAATATAAAAATTTGATTATAAAAAATTATTTAATTGTGATACGCATGTTGTTCATACTTACACATCAACCAGTTTTCATGTTCTTAGTACTAATTCAGTATGCAATTTTACAAAGATGCTCACTGTAGCTACAAAACTCGAAATTTGGTAAATCTATTCAAATTTTATTCTGCTAATCATTCTGAAATACAGTCAGTATGACCAAAAAAATGTTCAAAATTTTTGATTTTAAAACAGGAAAAAAGTAACAAAAGCATTTGTCCCTTACCTTGAAACCAGGGGCGCAGGTGCAGGATCCATCTTCTGGGTGGCAAATGGATCCTTTCTTACACTGGCATTGCTCTGTGCAACTTTTGCCAAACAATCCAAGACTGCACGCTAAAATTTCAGACACTTTTGAATTGACTGAATTTCAAATTATCTAAAGAAAAAATTCATTATTAAGTTGATAGTAACAAAAGAGACACGCCTTTTTTTAAGTTTTCTTCCAAAATCATTTTGTTTGCAATGATACCGTTAGGTGGATTTGGGATTCAACCTCTGATGGTGGTTTTAATATGTATTAAGTGGATTTTTTAAAAATCAGTGTTGTGTTATACCCAAATACAAGTATATTAGGGAAAGCATAGTAAATTTTAATCTAGAATAAATTTTGAATCTGAAACAACAGCAAGAAATTTATGTCTTGCCCTTAATTCAGGGGGGGGACGCAGAACTTACGTGAACATGTTCCTTCTTCTGTTTGATTGAAGCCGCTGCAACAAGCCCAAATTGTAACTTTGCTTTCACTCTCCACTGTTTTGCACTCTTCTGTGTACTCAATTCTGTTAAAATTAAAGAGCTGATTTGAAAATTAATCGTCGAATTTGTTAACTTGCAAAAACAAAAACGATTATGTAGATTAATTAACGAGAAAACGCATCAAGTAGCCTGTAAAGATTGATTTGAGGCTCTAGAGCGTAAAATTTTGGGTCTAGCGAAATAATTTTTTTAGCTTTTTTTTCTTATTTTGCAGGAGCCATTAAATGCTGCGATCTTTTGCTATTTAGGGCAAAAAAAATACTGTACGCAAACACTGCCTTAAATAATTTTTTATAAGTTTTTCAAGTCTGAAAGATTTACATTCCGCACTGATGTATGCATGCATACATAGGAAAAAAATCGTCTTCGGGATCAAATAAACCTTTCTTAAACCTTACTTAATGAGTAGGTGATCAATTTCAAGTAGCTCTAGAGATTCAAATTTAGGTCTGCCGAGTGATGCCTGGATCAATTCTCTTATGATTTCAATTTTGCCTGAGTAAAAGATCAAATAGCAATCAAAACATTTTTGGTTTGGTTTTGCCCTCGCGTTTTCAAATTGGCATAATTTTTGAAGTAAGGCGCACACATGCGAGAAGTGTTTTAGTCCTGTTTCATACTTGTATCTACGAAGAATGCAGACGTGAAAACAATTTTAGAGGCATATTGAACAACCTTAAAAGCCTTTATGATATCCTCTACATGTTGAGATTGGGACCAATTTTGAGTTTATGTAAGTGCTATCAATTGTTCTAGATAGACACCAGTTTGAGTTTATGTAAAAGCTATCAATTCTTCTTTCTGTCTGAGGACATGCTGTCTTGACCTTGCGATCTCTAATGTCCGATGGGATCTGAAATAAAAGAGTGCAGTAAGATTTCGATTTGATGCCTAACAGTTTGTCTACAATACAATTTATTAACAACCTTTTTGATTTTCTAAACTTACGACTTTAACATGGCGCAGCCAGCAGAGAAAAAAGGAGGGGGGAAAATCCACTAAACATAGTAGCATTTTGGGAAACACGAACGCCAGAACCTCCAATCTATTGGGAGGAGTGTTTATTAAATTTCATTGGGGGATGATAGCAAAATACAACATTGATCCCAATGATTTCTACTTTGCGAGTACTCCAAATACGGCGGCTATCACGGCGTTGCCTGAAGAAGTCAATGGAAAAAACCGTCTCGATTCGGAAAAGAAGTTAAAGTCTAATCTATATCTTTGTATCGGAGACAAGGCGCAACGGATATTCAAAGCACGAAAACCGACGGTTAACATTAAAACGGTACGGTACCCACGGGTCCTGGATGAGATGCAAAATGTTTTCCAACGTGAGAGGAATGTAACTCTTGAACGGGGACTCTTCTACGGACAAAAACAACGTGAGAACGAAACGTTCAAAAAATTTCATGCGGAGCTAAGCCCCCTAGCAGGAAGATGTGATTTTGCAAATACGGCCGAAAATGTTCGTGATATTTTCATTATGAATATGCGGGAATCGGATTGCCAACGAGAATTATCACGATCAACTAAGTTAGCTGAGGAAGTTTACCGGATCGCCTTATCATATGAACGTGGTGAGCGCGCATACAAATCATATACGGGAAAACCAGCTTCATCAGCTCCGGCAATCTCAATAAAACAGGAACCGGTAAATAATATAAGAAGGGGACAACAATTTTTTCGAGGTCGAGGACTAGGGGGACGTGGAGGATACACCCAAGGATCAAGTAGTAGTGGGGGAAGCGGAAATAACCGTAGGTGTTACAATTGCGACGCACCAAATTTTACCCTGGATCACATCGCGAGCTGTCCTGCAAAGGGAGCAACATGTAACTCGTGCCGAAAATTGGGACATTTTGAACAAACATGTCGAGGATTTAGAAGAGGTACTAACCAATGGAGAGGACGAGGACGAGTCGGATTGATTAGGGAGGAAAATGAGCATCATCAGAGTACGCAGAACGTAAATGAATTAAATGAAGACCCAGTGTCGTGGGTGAACCAGCAGGGGTGCGGGGAAAATGAATCCATGACGTCGGGATCGGACGACTACATGGTAATGTCGATAAAAAAGGAAGAAGAATGAGACTGAACTGAAGATCCCTGGGGCCCGCGTTCAAGTTGAGGTGTCAGGTAAGAAGATGTGGTTGTGGATAGATAGTGGATCCCCAGTGACTATTTTCAGCATAAACGACCTAAAAACAACATAAGTTGAAGCAAATATTCAACTACAGCCGTCAAAAGAGGAATTTCTGGATTACAATAACAATCGAATAAACATACTGGGGAAAGTAACAGTGATGATGTCATTAAATGGCTGGGCAGCACCAGCACAAGTGTCAGTAATTTCCGGAAATCATCAGTCAATCCTGGGGCGCAATCTGATGGGCACCCTGGGCCTCGAGTTAGTCCAACCGAAGAAAGTGATGGGAATCACAGGGGAAGGGATCAGTCAAGAGGAGGAATACGACGAATTGCAAACATACATCTGTAAGTTGTATCCAAATTTATTTACTAGGATAGGGAAGATCCGGACTGCGAAAGTAAGAGCTGAATTTTTTGAAAATTTGAAGCCTATACAACAAAAAGGGCGCAGGGTGCCAATCAGTCTACAAGATAAGGTGGATAAAGAAATTCATCGGCTGATGAACTAAGGGCATACCGTAAAATTACAAGAGTGCTCAGATAAGTATTTCGTCTCTCCTATCGTCATTACAGTGAAAAAAGACGTAAGTATAAAATTAGCACTGGAATCAAGAAAATTGAACAAACAGGTACACAAGAATAAGTACCAAATGCCAAATATTGACGAATTAATAGACGGAGTAAGTCAGATTATCGCGGAAAAAAAATCGGGGAATGTATATTTTACAACATTGGATTTCACATATGCGTACGGACAAGTCGCATTAGAACAAAAAACGAGCGAGCAATGCAATTTCTCACTCGTCGGTGGTAAATCCACGGGGACTTATCGTTTTAAAAACGGATTTTACGGACTTACGTCAATGCCGGCGGAATTCCAGAAGGTAATTGATAATTTAATAAAGGAGTTCCCCCAAGCTAACACGTTTATTGATGATATCTTAATTGCTTCAAAAGGAACTAAGATCGAACACATTGCGTTGGTGGAAAAGATATTGAAAAAGCTGGATGTCTCCAATGTCGCGTTAAAATTGCGAAAATGCGAATTTGCGAAAACGGAGTGCGAAAGGCTCGGATTTCGAGCTGGGGAAAGTGGTATCACGCCCATAGTAAGAAAAACACAAGCAATAGAAGACTTGGAAACCCCAAAATCTCGAAATCTGTTGAAATCTTTGATGGATTCACTACACAGTTTACACAAATTTTTACCCAATTTTGCAGAATTAAGCGCACCGTTTAGGCCACTACTGAGTCAAAATAACGATTTTGTCTGGACACCCGTTTGCGAAAATGCGTTCCAACAATTAAAATCGCTGGTTGAAAATATTGTCGAATTACGACACTTCGACATACACCGTGAAACTCGAATTATTTGTGACGCTAGTCATGATGGCCTAGGGGCCGTTTTAGAACAGTATGGCGCATCCGGGTGGCACCCGATTTCGTTTGCATCCCGTTATCTTAATCCGGCTGAGAAAAAATACTCCACAAACGAATTAGAATTACTCGCGGTAGTGTGAGCCACGGCAAATTTTTGAAATTATATATACGGTCGATATTTCACAGTCATGTCTGACCATAAAGCGCTACTTACATTGTTGAATTCGTCACCGAAAGGAAATAAAACATTCTTCAGTCGATTAACTCGATGGTATGATCGACTGGTGCCATAAGACTTTAAAGTTGAACATAGACAAGGGTCGAAAATGGGGATGGCTGACTATTTGTCTCGGTTTCCGTCCGCAGAGGCACCCGAGACAAGTCATTACGATGAAAATTTTACAGTAGCAAAGATAAGAATGATAAACGCGGCGTTGAGGCCCAAGGATAAAATGAAGCCTAGGGGTCAGGAAGTGAATAACATTAAGCCAAAACCGACCGTAGGGGGCGAACAGTCATGTTTCGACACAGCAAAATCAGTTTCATCAAATGAGAATGAAAGAAAAGACGAATATGCAAATGTTCACCGTGAGCACGAACGCTCAATAGAGGGCGTGTTTACATGCAACCGGCGGTTAACCAATCAGCGTCGAGATATTTGCATACCGGCGGAAATATGCAAATACCGAAGAACGAGTTTCAGACTTTGTTCTCATTGCTTAAATTACAGTTGCAAGCATAAAAAATTGATCAAATACTATCGCAATCCTTCCAGTTCAACTAATTACAACAGCAAGCCTTCTACGTTGGAAATTTACAGGTGCAAACCACCCATCTTACAAGATTACAGTCAAAATCCACTTACTTTGAAGATTTACAGTAGCAAAGATTACAGTGAAAAGCCATTTACTTTAAAAAAAATTACAGTAGCAAAACCCTAATTCGGGAATAACTTGAGTAACTCAAAATCAAAAAAAAAACGAGCAATTCGCCTGAGAAAAATGATCCTCCAACTTCGGCCATTGTCAACACATCAACTAATTTGGGATATGTGAATCTAAACGTTGTACTGAAGCGCCTAAATCAACCTCCTAGCGTTAGTTCGGATTCCGATATTGAAATGATACCACCCGAAAAACTTGATATTAAACAGACTAATTCTAAAAAACTAAATACAATTATATCTTTTCCACACCAGTTCCCCGGTTTATCTTACCCACTTGTACAAAATGAAAAATGGATCTACTCTATAGTGCCATCGGATAGTAAAATAGTGAAGAAAATTGAACACCCGGAAGTTTTGAATTTAAAATTGATTGAAGCAAACATTGAAAAAGACCCAATTATGAAAACCATCGGAGATAACATCAGAGACAAAAACCCACGAGCAAAGAAGATTATTACAAGATTAGGACAATACTACGCCCAGCATTACAACGATTTCGCAGTACGTGAGAATTGCCTGTGGATGGACGGCCGGATAGCAATACCGAAGGATCTATCATCAGCAATCCTGAACCGCCTACATTACAACCATCATGGGCGGGACAAAATGTTCGCTGCCGCAAAGGACGTGTGGATTCCCCTGATGCATCGAAATATCGCGGCCACAGCAAAATACTGTAAAAGTTGCTTAGAAGCAGGTAAAAACCTTAAACCGGACATTCCGAAAAGTGACATGGGGTAAACGTATGTTCCTAAGGAACCAAATGATTTGGTCCAATTAGATTTCTGGGGTCCAGTAAATTATGTAAGGGGTCGGAAAAAGTATGTACTTGTAGCAGTAGATACCTTCTCGCATTGGCCGTCGGCGTATGTTTGTTCAAGCAATAAATCAAAAAATGTATTTAAGTTCCTGAGGAAGTACATAAATACTCATGGACACCCAAGCAAATTGCACACGGATCAAGCCACGGGGTTTTTCTCTAATGAAATTCAAAATTTCTGTAATTACGAAGGTATGGAACTTATTAAATCTCCGGTTAGGGATCAGCGCGCGACAGGAATGGTTGAACGGACTATTGGGTCGATAAAAAATTACGTGTTGACTTATCTTCAGGAAAATAAAAAGTACAAGTTTGGAGCAATGATATCTCGTGCGCTTAGTGCATTACGTTTCGTGCCACATTCTAAAACTAAATTAACGCCTTTCGAAGCATATCATGGTCGAGAAGCAAATACGGCACTGCGAAACTTAACGAAAAAGCGGTCATTGAAAACGTTTGCCAACAAAAATTGAAAAATTGACTAAGCATACGGTGCAAATGGAAAAAGGGTCGTTACTAAGGCGGAGTGGTGTGTATTTTAGATCGGCGGCTGAAGAAAGCCTAATTGAGAGTAGAAGCAAGGAGTGCACCCCAGGACCGAGTAGAAATGTACGTAGTACCCCGGCCCCAAGCGAATCCAACAAGTATAAGCGCAAAGCCGAGAAGGACCGAACCGCAATGGAAAACGCAAGAAGATCGACGAAACAACGGATAGTGGAATACAGTGCGGACGAGAGCGAGGACGACGACAACGAAGATAGTGAGTGGGAAATCGAGCGAAGTGAACCAATTATATGTGCGGCGAACGAAGGAAAGGATGTACCGTCGGTAAGGGAGAATTCACCACGATCCGTTGGTGGAAAACAAAATAAAAACCAGTGTGAAACAGCGACGAGGAAATCAACACGACAGAGACGCGGAGTTGACAAAATGGGGTGGGTTATGATCCACCGAATAGAACACAAATGAGGAAACTGACAAGAAAGAGAAAAATAAACCTTAAGAGAGGTTTGGCGGGTGAGAAAACTCAACGTAAACTAAAACTTATCTAGTACATTTATACAATACCAAATAGTAACAAAGAGTTGATAAATTTTATCTACGCTCTAAAATTTATTTGTGGTTGCCAGAATGAGATAGGGACCAGTTTTGAGTTTATGTAAGTGCTATCAATTGTTCTAGATAGACACCAGTTTGAGTTTATGTAAGTGCTATCAATTCTTCTTTCTGTCTGGGGACCTGCTATCTTGACCTTGCGATCTCTAATGTCCGATGGGATCTGAAATAAAAGAGTGCAGTAAGATTTCGATTTGATGCCTAATAGTTTGTCTACAATACAACTTATTAACAACCTTTTTGATTTTCTAAACTTACGACTTTAACAATGTATTAAAGACAATTGATGTATAAATATAGGTGCACAATTTTATGTCTGTACGTTCCTGGATTCCAGAGACAACCCTAATCGATCTTTGTTTTAGTTTATTGGAATTTTTATCTAGTTTTGCAACTCTAGCGGTTACATTTTAATTTTTTATTTTTTTCTCTCAAAATTTTGATTTATGGAGTCAATTAGCTTGAGATATTTTGTTTGTTATTTTTACTTAAATCCGATAAATATTTATGTTCATTTTATTATGAAATTATATTGTTCTTTTTAATCTTGATCTGTTCAAGTATTTGAATGTTTCTACTTGCTATTGGTAAAGTGTCTACTGGCAAAAAAGTTTACTTGTCTTCTTGTGTAAAGTTTTTTTTTCACAAAAAATCATGTTTTTAAAGAGCTTGCTAGAACTAAGGTGATCTTTAGAGGAGGTTGTCTTGCAAGATCTTGTAAGAATCTCGCAAGATCTTTTAAAGAGATGCATTTTCTTTAAAAGAATATTACAAGATTCTCGCAAGATCTTGCAAGATAACCTCCCTAGATCATTTAGCGAAATCTTTAAGCATGTTAAAAATTTGTTGGAACGATCAAAGGAAATAAAAGAACAAATGAAGAACAAAGGGAGCGTCCTTGTTGCGGAATGCTCTAACGATCCCGAAAATGCGCAGTTTGGCCTCGTAATGTTCGCCTTTGAAGGTTCGGAACATTTTTTGGCATAGCGTGATTTTTTTTCCGATGCATTTGAACACCTCAAAAAATGCTCGAAGGGGATCAAACGTGATATCATACTGAAGCATTGATTCTGTTCTCATACGACTTCAAAAACGTTCTTTCAGTGACAAGAAAGTTAATCTGACTAATTTCGTTTTTCTCGTTTTTAATAATAGCATTTCAGACTGAATTTTGATCCAACTCTTAAAACATTTTTGAAGTTATTTGGCTATTAATATCTAATTCTGTTTAGTCTTTAACAATTTTGTTTCAGCCTGAAAAAAAAAACAAAAAAAAACAACATTTACCTTTTTTTGGTGCACTGGAAGAAGTCGAATGGACTCAAACAGAAGTCCTTCTTGGTAATAGTCACAGGTATCCTCTCACACACTACTGATGACGTCACTAAACTGAAATACATGTGTAAAAACGGTTAATAAAGAGTAGATTGAAATCAATCATAACAAAAAAAACTCTCCCCTCTTTTTTTTCTATTCGTAGAAGTGGGTTCGAGTGGGATTGCGTTGAATTGATCATCTAAAATAGTAGATTTAATAAATTTTTTGATTTTCTAGAACAAAAACAATTGCCGCCGTGTAATATCATTAAAAAAGTGGTAAAAGGACTTCTCCAAAAACGCTGTTGAGGCAAAACTGAAAACTATCACGCAAGAAAACGAGTTCCCGACAATTAATTTAGAATTATCGAACATCAGTAACTTCGGACTGTTTAAAGGACTTCAATGCATTCGGTTCTTCTGTCATGCGAATAGCCCTCAGTTATGCGACGAGGAAGGAGACTTGAAGTAACAGCTGGGCACTAAGGTGTAGATATACGACAGGCAGGTACTTCTAGGGCAACTACCCTTGATCCGTATAAAAAACCACTTCTGAATATAATAAAAATTTCTTTAAAAATCCTTGCCAAATGTTTGTTAAAATAAAAACTTCAGGTAAATAGGCTACTCACATTTTCTGCTCTGAACAAGCATTTGAGGTCACTTCGGTTATTTTATTCACACTGCCCTCAGAAATAAATCCACAAAGCGCTGTTAATAACAACTGAATTAACATTTTGCCCAATTTGAGCATTAAAAAAACAAATAACAGCAAGGTAAGAATGAGTATTTCAAATTGATGCTAAAATTGATAACGAGTGCAAAAGTTTATAGAATCTAAGATGACCTTGAAAGTTATGACCTTGAATGTTAATTCTCATGAACGAGAGAAGAGTTTGAGATAGCGGCGGTTGGAAGAAACCGCACCATTACTGAAACTGACGGAGCCGCAAACTGCTTTCGACAGACACATTATGGAAGAAATCTGAAGATTTTGTTCTTCTTTAGTCAGAAATTTGTCTCCAAGCCAAGACGATATCGTCAGAACTTTTGCAAGAATTTCTTTTTGCAAGTTTGGCGTTAGTTGATTTTGATGGACGAAAAGATTTTTTGTTCTTTTGAATTTTCAATAGGATGTTCAGTAAATTTGATAATAACTTTTAGCTAAATTGCTACCAAGAATCAAGTTTTGCTTCCAAGCTTTTAACTCTCCACCAGAGCCCTTCGATGGCCGCGACATAAAATTGCTCGTCCTAATTACCAGCAGAAGCTGTTTTCAAAGCTGTTTTTCAATACATGATTTTGACATGAGTACGTTTAATTGTTCCGACCATTTAGAAAATGGGGAGAAACTTTGTATTCGGGTGTGTTTTAATTTTTCTTTCTTTTTTTTGTTCTGACCATTGAAAATGGGGAGGAAATTTGTATACAGGTGTGCTTTATTTTTTAAATTTTTGGTTTTCCACGAAAAATCAGGTACCACAAATAATCATGGGACTGGGTTGTGTGAAGAATCATATTAAAGCCCTTTCAGTTGTGATTCGAACGACATTGGAAAATTTGTGAAAATTTTTCATTGAAAATTGAAAAAGTTTCCAGAGTTGAGAAAAACTAGTTGGAAATTTAGGATTTTTGGTCTTATTTCGAATGAAAAAAGGCAAGAGAGCAGGCTTGCAATATCTTATTTATGCTCAATTTAAGTCGCAAAAGCTTAGTTTTAGTCGAACCAAGTTAGTTTTTGAATTTTTCAGCGATGTTTTGCAAATCAAACATTTTTTTTGTTTTTCTAGACTTTTTTTCGTTTTTGCAGGCAGTGTTCAACAAATAAATGTTTTCCAATTGGCCCATTTTATTATGACTGTCGAATATATTTAAGTTCTCTTTTTGCGTTCAGACTTTTTTATCACACTAAGCAGAAAAAGTTACACTAACTTAAACAAATTATGTGTATTTTTCAAGAGTATGGTCGGAACATATCGTGCTATTTGCACAGTAACGGGCTATTCTTGTTAAAATTTTTTGTAATGAGTTAAATCAGAAAATGCTTTCTGCAATTTTATCAAATGCTGCCCCACATGCTTTTGGTTTAAAAACGCGAAATGTGGAAAAAGTTTTAACTCCCAATAGAATCATTGAGACATTTTTTGAGACTTTTTGCCGGCAAGGTGCTTATAAACTTTTGGTCCCAATTTGTGCTCTTTTTCTTTTGCCCACCTGCAAATTTTGCTAAATTCAATTTTTGTTGTTATTATCCAACTTTCATGAAAATTGGCATGCGGACTAATTAGGCTATGACACACATATTTGATCGGTATACATATTTTTGTATAATCACTCGTTAAACCAGAAAATCTATGCTCCTGCGAGGTGGGGAAAAGGAAAAAGAATTCCAATCTGCTTTTATTAGGGCTATGAAAGTCTGAATGTAAGCCACACCCACGACCTCGACCCTCAAGGAGTCGGTCCTCTCTCTACCCAAAACATCCCTCTTTGGTTTTTTTACGATACCTATTTTTGGCAAAACGATCATAAATTTTTTCTAAAAGCACCTTTGTTGTCAGGATATAGTACTTTTACGAGAGGAGCGCGCGCCAAATAAACCTAAAATTCTGGCAAACATCTTCCGAAACGAGCAATTTTTGGTCATGAGTTTCCAACAATGTTTATAGAGTGTTTTGGGAAACATGAAAATTTTCGCCTTAAACTTTTAGTTTTCTAATAGTTAAATGAGGCGCGACTACTTTTGTGGTATTTTCTCGACATGTGGAGGCTTATTTTCAAAAAAATCATAAGAAAATTTTAACGACGTTTTTTTAAATCTAGCAAAAAAATTTTCCGAGTTCCACAAACATTATAGACCCTAAATTGCCAAAAACTCATGTGTCGTTTTTTCAAAGTTTTCAGGAAAACATCTTCAGTTGTGCAGCCTGTATATACATAATATCAGCAAAAAATTGGGTATAATTTTAACACCACATGCGCCTTCAGAAACATTGTAGGTTCGGTCAGCCAACAATCGATTCCGAAAAATAATAACAATGATGTACTATTTGAGTAGTCAAAATTCCAATCACCAACCCCTAAATCTACTGATTTTGATAATAAGGAGCTAACTCAGTAAGTGGTTCAACTCAAAGTTTTTTTTCTTTTTCTTAATGGCTATTGGACTCGAAACTACTTAGAAACAAAAAAGAAACGTAAACGTTTTTCGTAAATTATTGGAACTTCCATTATTATTATTGGAAATTATTGGAAATCGTAGATAAGTTCCATGAGCGTTCATTTTCCAGACAGAAAATTCGATTTAGTTTTTCAAATTAATTATTTTAAATATCAAGATTTTAGTCTCTTTCAATAACTCTCAGGTTAAATTTTTGTAGTTAAACTTTTTATTATTTATAAGGTTTAATAAATTATTATTCAAAATGCAGACAGATCAGCAAATGCAAGACAACTCTATCGACAATATGAATCAAAAGTTACACCACGGGCTATCATAATCCATCTCAAAAAAAATTCAATGAAAAATTATGCGTAAAAAGTTGAGGTGAGAAAGTTGTACGTTTTGTTACATATGAAAAAATGCGCAAAAGTTGTACTTAATAAATTCGTTTTTTTGAGGAGCTCTAGTCAAATTGTTCACTTTTGTCATGATTGATACAGCTTTGAAGTAGTTTTATTCCGGGCTGAGTTGAGTAGGAATTATGGCGTAGCGTTAATTTTTTCCGGTCAATTTCGACAACCTCAAAAGAACACCGTGGTTAAAATAAGAAAAATTATAAAACCCTTTGCAGCTGTAACTTGGACTTTTAAAAAAACTTTCAATTTTTCCATATTTTTTATAAATTGAATAGTCAAAATAGTCATTACACTTTGAAAAACAAACAGAAAATGTTTTTTTTTTGTTTTTTGAAAAATCCCAGACAAAGGTTTTTGCGCGTGGTATCAAGTGCGAGTTTTACTCTAGACTTGTAAGCTAGTTTGATTTATGATGTCCATTTTTTAATATACCAAAAAAAAAATTTTTCAATCTCTCTAGAAACTCCGCAAAAACCGTCAATTTTATTTATCGGTTGAAAAAATATCTGAATCATTGATTGTCACCATAGAGCTGAGAGAGTGTTGTCTGTGATGGAAGATTGAAACAAACTAGTTGCGTGTTTTGTCTGTTTCAATATGATCAATGAACGTTAAGTTTCGATGCAACATAAGTCCACTGCGTTCTTAGCTCAACTGAACTTCAATGATTCTAGCTTTTGTAATTATTTACGCTTTCTTTTTTTGCAATTGATGATTTGATGATAATTATTTGTATTTTGAATTGATTTTGATTATTGAGTTTTTCTCTCAGTCTTTTTTTACGTAATTTGTGGGTCGTTTCTGAGTCTAATAGTTTTTAATCGTTTTTTTTTTCAAAAAGATTAGTGCGCTATCCTAAGTATAAGCCACATTCACACTATAGTTATATCTGTAATTCAATCCGTTTTGGTTTTACTTCGCTCTCTCAAATTTCTGTCTGTGATCTTTGTATTCATAATTGTGGATGGCTTTGCCAGTTGAAGTACTTTCGTCAAATTCGTGAGAGAAGACTTCTCCTGCTCTTTTGAGGTCATGACAATTGCTGCATTCGGGGGTCCATTTGTTCACTGCGTAACTCTGTCCCCACCTGATAACAAAAGTGGTGCTAGCAAACAATAACCCCAAGCAGCGATCTTCAAAGTTTCCGACAAAAAAAACATAGAAAAAGGTTTAACTGTTTTCGCAGAAACAAACAACCACTACATTGCTAACATTCTGAAGTCCAACAATAAACAGAACAAAAAAACAAGAGGCTATTTGCAACTTTAAAAAGGTATTCAAATCTGATCACTTGCTGTCACTGATATTTTTTATTATGCCTGATTGCACTAGCAAGATTCGTCTCAAATGGAATTTAGAAAACATTATTTCAGCAAGTTCGAAGAAACTGACTAAACAAGCGTATAAGCCTATAAATTCTGACTTCTTGAATATTTTGATCAATAGGCTGTCATCTTCTGAGCCGGCCTTCTCAGTCGCATCGTGTATCATGAGCAGGGCCCCATATAGCATATTCCCAGTCACATATCGTCCATTTCTCTTGCCCATGAAGAATGCAGTGCCAATTGCGTCAAAGAAGCGGGACATTACTAAATGCACAAAGAAAAAGCACTAAAAATCAGAATTAGAGGATGATATTCAAAATTCCAATAAATAGATTGTATAATAATTGTAAATAGTAAATCGTTTCCATATCAGAAACGAGGATAGCAGGTTCCTGTGCAAGTAGCACAGAAGGTTCCAGTCAAAGTCCTAAAAAACACAACAAAAAGTTTTTTTCAATTTAGTTTTTATGCATGTTATCATAAAAGAATCTCAACAAAAAAACTAGAGCTTAGGCATATTGACAGTTATAGTAAAATAGGCAAATTAGCAAATAAGTAAATTAGGTAAAATAAGCTTTTTTTCGAATTTTTGACGTTTTTGTTTCCAGAAAGGCGCTAAAACAAACTATTTTTAGTCGAGTAAAACTGTTTTTTACCGCTTAAATTAAGAAGTTGTAAGCTTTTAAACTATCGAAAAAACTATTAAAGCCTGCTCGCTCACCTGAAATTAGACAAAAAATCTAAAATTTCAAACCGTTTTCTCTCGACACTGGGAAAGCTTTTTTGGGAATTTTTCTGATGTCATTCGAATACCGACGAAAAGGGCTCTAAATGATATATTACTCAACTTTCTCCGAAGAATATTTGTAGTAGCTGATTTTGAGTGGGAAAATAAATAAAACACAGCCGAATTCAAAGTTCCTCCCCATTTTTTAAAGACTCGGAACAATTATTGAACAGACAATTGTAAATTTACATAACTCTGATATGTAAGGACATTAAAAGGCCAGATAGGTCGAGTCAATGGATGCCTCAATTAGGCAGTGCAATTTGAGACAGTCTAGGTATTAAAAAGTTTAAGCAAAAAGGTACTATTAGTTGCCCGCATCCTACAGCCCAGTTTTTAGATTAAAAAAGCACCTATCAATTCTTTATTCATTGTGATGCTTAAATTGCAAAGTTAACTAAAGCGGCTAAAAATTAGGCTAACACGCAAAAATTGCATCAGCAAAACTTGAAAAAAATTGCATAAGATTAAATATTTGATTTTCTAATCCGTATACCTATTCTTTTACCGAACACTTATGCAATATTAGGCTAAAACGCAAAAAGTGCATCAGCAAAACTTGAAAAAAATTGCATAAGATTAAATATTTGATTTTCTAATCCGTATACGTATTCTTTTACCGAACACCTATGCATATGCAGTTTTTTTCTCAATGGCCAGTTTTACGATGTGAAGATTGAAAAACAATTGAGTTCAGAACACAGTTTGTTCACCACCCTGGCTATGGTCTTATAAGTAGAATTAAAGGTAGAACATTGTAAACCAAATAAGGAGAAAAAACCTTTTTTGGTTCAGTCTATGATCAATGTCAGTTTATTCATGAATTTGACTGAGTCATTCTTGACGTAGTGCTGCAAAGTTACATCAATGTAACATTGTTCAATGATCATTACATACTTCCTGTTAGCAAAACATGGGTGTGAGAAATTACAAATCAACAAGACTGCTAGTATATCAGGGCAAAGCCCTGAATTTTCCGACTGTCCCTTAATTCATATCGAATAGTTTTTGGAAAAAAATATTAAAAACCTATAAACTTTGAACAACAACAAAGTGTGAAGTGTTCATTCGTACAAAATTAATACGATCAATTAGCTAGCCGCAATTCAATTTGAAACAATTTTGTTGTGCCGGATAATCCGCCACCCTTAAATAATTTGCGTTACAATCTCAGCAATATAGATAAATTCTTCAAAGCGCGCATTTTTTAGTCCAGAACATGGCCAGTTTGGCAATTTTCAAACCCCCAAAACTTAAAAAAAGCAATTGGAGGTAAAATATCTTTTTAAGTTTGAACTCAGGAAGTCGATATCTTCAAAAAGGTATAAAAATTTTGTTGAAAACTTTTAATTCGACCGGCAAAAATTGACCGATTAAAAAAACCACACTGAGCATAAATATTTTGTTTTCTTCAAAAGTCGGAACAATGAAAGGTATCAATATTAACAATAGTTTTCCAAAAAATCTGCGCAAGAATCAAAGTCATCTAAACAGTCTAAAATGTGTTCTTTTTCTCTGAATTTCTGGTTTTCTCTGCATAAAATTGTACAAAAACTCCATCGAAGTGCCACTTTTTCTCCAAAGTGCAGTTTGTCTCTACCACAAAGTACACCGTTATCTTAATGCTCTAGTTATGAGCAATAAAAACAAACAACATTTTGTATCGGATAAAAGATCTGTCAAGTTATAGTGTTCCTGCCACATATCCGAGCAAATAAACTTTGCGTAAAATGGGCAAAATATTGGTATTTTCTCTTGAAAAATTAGAAAAGTCAGAATTTGATTGATGTATCGCCCCGCTTCAGGTTTCAATGATGCATGTTTTTATGATAAAAATCTGTTTCAGGTGACAACTGAACATGAATTCAAGTAGACTTTTTGTTTAAAAAAGCTGATTTCAATCATTTCATATTCTTATGCCAAAATCAAAATGTCAAAATTTGCATAAGTATATGGTAATGCTTAGTGTCTAATCAAGACTTTCTGGAAACACTGCAAGTTTCGCAAAAAAGGCTACAAAAAAAGTTTAAACAAAAAAGTTCAACAAACTTTTTCACCGCTGTTTTTTTTTCGCTCCGCTGATAGAATCAAACTAGAAAAGCTTAGAAAAAAGACCGAACCATTTGAGAAAATTGAGAGAAAGTTTTAAGTGCGTTTTCTATTTATTTAATCTTCAAAAGACTTCCGAATTTTTTCATATTGTTCAAAGCAAAAGACGAAAACAACACACATTGCAAAAAAACACAAAAAATTCAATTTACGAAAAATAAAATTAATTGCTCGGCCATTACCATAAAAAAACTCACACACGGCTTCATTTTTTTTTAATCTACTCATTGCAAAAGAATTCTAAAAAACAATTCTGACACTAAATGATTGTCAAAACAATTATTTCAAAACAAATCTGATTCGCTTAGACTAGAAATAACACAGGTTTTTTATATGTTTCCGAGCTGTATTTGAAAATTAAAGCGCTAGTGAGCAATGTATTTCTGTGTTTTTGTCATTGAAACAAGTTAACTAGAAATCAAAAATTATGTTTTGGCAAAAAAAACTTTTTCTAATGTGCTTGTTTTCTACATGGTTTTTATGTCACTCAAGCAACAGCGTATATTGCATGTCGAAGTTTATTTACATCTCGATACTTCGTTTCCTGATTTGTGTCACAATTTCTCTCGATGCAGTAGATAGCTGTTGTTTATCTACTACAAGGTCTATGCATATAATAGTTTAAACTTTTCAATTTTTTTATTTTACATAAACAACTCTTTCTGAAGAACGAGAGGGTAAATAGCAATGATGAGGTTGTAAATTGATTAATCAGCCGCCTGATTCAATTCAACAAAGACTGGCGTATATATTTCATTTGAACGGGTAACTTGTGGTAATTTGATAGAATTAACAGCATTTTAAGCAGCTTCCAAAATATTCTCATTCTAAGGTTGCTACAACTTTGTGAGTCTTTCGATACTAGTTTAGATAAATTTTGATTGATAAAAATTTGATTGCACTACCCCACTGAATTTTTTAAAATGCGAAAATTGCAATACAACGTTTTAGAGGTCTTGTATAGTAATATTAGCATCATATACTTGCTGCAGATAGTCCAGTCTACTCTCGAATCAATTTTGATCATAGCTTGTTTTTCCTCCTAGAAAAAATATGTCGAATAACACTATCTTGTTGTAATAGTTAGAGGAGGTGAAACAGTGTTCCCCTCTTTAAAGATTAATAAGTTTATAAGTTTTTAAAAACTTATTGTTTCTAATAGCCATCTAGTCATCCGACGGAAAATCTAGTTTTAATAAGTCTTATCTCTATCTGGCTGAGAGGCCAGATATTGAAAAACTAAAGAACTGCGAGAAGTTTGAGTTCATTCAATCTAACCTCTCACGAACAATTTCAGTTCTCTGGCCTGATACCTGTAGGAATCATTCTAAATTCTAGAAACAACTTCAATTTTTACCAATTTGGTACAGTTTACTAACGCCTGAAAAACACTTGGGCTATATGGAAACGAGAGCATAAATTTCCTTGTGATATCTGAATCTTGTCTACTCCTTGTCTACTCACCTGTCGTGAGTGATACTCCGAGATAGATTGCGGTTGAATTCAGAGTCCGCTCTCCTCCAGGTTGACCTTGAGTCATCCTATTATTATAACCGGAACACGTCCAGAAGTCATGGCCTAAAATGGAGCAAAATATGACAGTTCAATTTGCGGATACAATAGAGCTTCCGAGGTCGAAATTAATACCCTTTTAGTCTCATATTTTAATATGACGCCTACTAATGAACCACAACCTTGAAACAAAATAAAGTAATATAATTTTTAGCAAATGCGACACAATTTAGTCGTTATTCAATTCAGTGATTAAAAACTAGATCTATTTGAAGACTCTATATTCTATCGGTACAAAATGTCGACAGACGTTGCGTGCATAAAAACTTAGTCTCAAAGACTTAACTTGTGGCTCTGCAATTTCAACCAGGCTAGTCGGCCTGCAAAGCCGAAACATAAATGATCACGTTACTTTAAAAATGTAGTATAAATAATGAGCTTTATCTCGTTAAAATCAATCTGATCAAACTACACTCCCCAGTTTGCTTCAAAATTGGATGAGTTTTGTGACTCAGCTTTATTCTTGGGCCCGAGTCGAGATTTTTCACCTAATTTGAAGCAAGATATGAGCGGTTTGAGCGGTTTTTTTAGACAATTACGCTCAAAATCTTGCTTCGAAATGAGCTTCTTATCTAAAAAACGGTACTTCAATTCTGTGTGGGGATTCCTCCCGCTCTTCTACCGTGTTGTCTCCCGGGTTGACCAAAACTTCTTATCATACAATTTCCATATATGCAAAACTTCTTGCCAAACAGTTCCATACAATTCCATACGTACTGAAAAGTGTATGAAATCTCTATGATAAGCATTTTTCCATATATGGAAATTGTAGGATAAGCATTTTTTTTTCATTTTTTAAGCTCACACATCTTGTTTGTTTTTCCGTAATCTTTTTGCTGAATCCTTGAATTAATTGATTCTGAATATCGTCTACTTGTTTTGTTATTTTCTCGTCTGCTTTCCTCTCCTCCATTACATCCTTTCCGGTGTTTTTATAATATTGGCTGTGCCGGTGGCTCCTGCATCTCTTTTTTTTTAAAAAAAGCGGTACAATTTGGTGTCGCGTGCTCACTATTATGCGACAAAGCCACTTTGTCTAATTGGTCTAGTTCCCCTTAGTTTTGGGCTTTTGTGTGAAAGCAAACCGACTATTTTTTCTGTATTCAGTGGAATATAGGTAAGGAAGTTTCTGTCCAGTGTTTTATATTTTGGCTGGTACGTTGTTACTTCTCTAATGCTTTGCTGCAAACTAAATTATTTTCTTAGAGATGCTAAGATGTTGTATTTTCATTTCTTTTTAGTTTGTTGTCTGAAGTTTCTTTCTTGCCCTAAAAAATTAATTTTGCTTTTGCTGTTCTGATGGGTCCATATCAATAAATTAAGGTAGATTAAGACCATTTATCCACGGGGAAAGGACCAACATAAGAGCTGTACAGATTATCACGGCGAACCGCTGTTGTGCCCCTGTTTAAGAACTACATGCAACTAATTTTTTTGGTTATTTTTCTGGGCTGGGTAATGTTGTTTCACCCTCAAGCAACGAGCACGGATCATGGTGGGCCTCGAACATGCGACCTTTCGGCTCTTTTCCAGTTTCCCACCCCCCTCGTAAAATTACAAAACAAAGCTGTGCATAAATTGTTCACACGGCATTTTGCATGTAAGAAATGTTGTAGAAATTTGTTCACCTGTTCACGCTGACACGTTTTATTGCAGTTTATAATATCAAAAATCATTTTAAATAGACTTTCATCTAATGGATTTCAGACAAAAATCAAAGGGGGGGAACTGGAAAAGAGCCAACCTTTCGATTGCGAGGCGGAGACGTAACCACTTCACCACCGCTCACCGTACCAATATTGATGAGTACTGGGAAGCTTAAGATGAGTCAATGAATTTGCGGGGCGTCTTTCCATGTAGATTTTACCCATTTGAAGTTTTGTTCCTTCGAGCGAAATCATCCGAAAAACTTGAACGAGATCTGTAACGTCCGGTTCTAAATTGTATGATTTCTTCCGGGAGTACACTTTCAAAACGCCCAACCATATTGCCTTTGGAGTGTCAACCGAAACAATGTGGTTTTATAAACAAACAACTAGGGACAAATAGTAACTCAACTATGGTATTTCATAGCTAAATAAAAAAAAACAATTGGTATATTAAATAGCAATTCTTTTGAATCATTTTTTTTTCAAAAACAGTTAATGCTGATGACACATACATACACCACGAAAACGAAAATAGAAATAAAAAACAGCATTGTTCAATTTCCGTTGCATCGCAAGAAAAAAATTATCGTTGCTGTAGAAAAGTTACTGTTAATCAAATCTCCAGGGCCTATGGGAACACACGTTTTCTACCTCCATTTGGTCAAACTTGCAACTGGAACGCAACAAAAAAAAACTTTAAAAACCATAATGCAAACCAATTTCTATCATTCCATAAAGAAGCATTTATATCATTCGATTTCAAAGAAAAATGGCATCAAACTAGAAACCGTGTTGGGTGACAAACACGCCACAGAACTATTTGAACGCTTGTTTTGAAACAAATTGTGGAAACACAAACTTCGTTGCTGAACTTTTTTTAAATTCAGATTTCAGGAGAACAACTCTGCAACAGATGCACTTATCGATTTTACCGAAAAGATTTATGAAAACATGGTTTCTTGATCTTGTCGAAACTTTCAAGACAATTTATCATGATTTTATTTTAAAAAAACTGAAATGTATGATTTTTGAAGAAAGCATCAAATCTCATGAAGAACTTGTTAAGAGATTCTAAACAACGGGTAAAATTAAATACTTAAAATCTGACTGTATAATACGAATTCAGGGCGTTCCATGAGGTACTTTTTGAAACCTTTAAGCTTCCTTTTTCTTTTTCTAAGTAAAAAATGTAAAAACAAAGTCAACAGAAACATGAATTAAGACGATTTGTTGGCAATAAAAGCATCTTATGTGCAGGAAACTGATCAATAATTAAAAGATTATCAATGGTTGAAACAATAGAAAATTTATTTGCCTATTTTAAATAAGTCCAATTTGTCTTTGAGTTTCATTAAAATGAAGATATTGCTTAGCAAAGAAATTTTAGAAAGAGTTCTTCACAAAAAAGAGTTATTTCCGTATAAAAAATCATTCAAGGAAAATCGGAGTGTTAGAAAACAAAAATCTTACTTTTCCAGTTAAGTTAACTATGTTTACACAAAAAGATTACTGCAACTAAATCAATATGCTGTTTGAGCCATGTGGTACACTAAAAACAAGAGTTATCTTTTTCCAATATTTAGTTTAGTCTCAAAAAATTTTCGCTAGCATTTTTTCAAACTCTACTCATGTTCCAAGTTAACAGACTGAACAGACCAATTTCCTGGGGAATCAAAATGTGCTATGACAATCAAATTTTTGCATCAATTATGATCATGCACGAGATCTACTTCTCAAGTTTAAAATTTTAGCAGCCGAAACTTTCTTCACCCAAGATAGCTTGACTAAAGTTTTGGATGTGAAACAGAAGGTTGAGACAAACAAACCTTAATAAGATTATATCTAAAACAGAGAATCTGTGAAACTAAACCAATGCACAGAAAATATGAATAATTTGGGGAACAAGTCTGTAACAAATAAAAACGGTAATTACTGGCACACAATAACCGTGAAGCTGAGAAGCGTTAAATAAAAACCAAAAAAGAATTTTTTTAAAAAAATTTCTTAGACACACAAAAAAACTCCTAGTGATAGATCTATTATTATTTTCGAAATTTTTTTCACTAACAATAGTTTTGATTTTATTTCTTCAAAATAGAATTGTTAATTTAAAAGCCAGTGAAGTTTTGTACTAATTACAATATTTTTCATTAGAGTAGGTAGCATTCTGTATGTTCAACCAAACTCGTCGTAATTGCTGGCTGTTATTACCGGGCTGAAATGGTTTCTCCAGTGTTCGTCAATTAGAATTACTTTTGATTCCAACAATTGGTTACAAAAATGATTATTAAAATCTGTCAATTCATCGGAGTATTTTGAGTTGCACAGTTTTTGATTTTCTGGATGCGTTTATTGTGTTTAAATGCCCTAACGGTCTTTAAATACTGTTATTGTTTTTCCGTAAGGATAAAGGTTGGAGTGATTTACCAGCTCAACTATTACTAATACCCGCATTTAATAAAAAAGAAAACATATTGAATATTATGGATTTTCGTGGTCTAAAGTGTTGTAAATATAATCGATTCCAATGTTACGTTCAGACAACAAAATTGGACTAAAAATGGATTTAAATGTATTTTTTTCTTGCCAAAACAAAATGCATTATAATTCATTTGGAATCCATTATAATGGTTTTTATAACAAGTAGGAAATCACATTACAGTGGATTTTTTTCCACTTTATTTATGTTTCGCGCGTCGTGGAAACTTTTGCAAGAACTTCTGCACTTATCAAATGAGTTATGCGGAAAGTTTGCAAAGCGAGTAATCCATTCCTAAACCTAAACCGAAGTTGCAAAATGATTCTGTTAAGCTCTCTCCCCCCTAACATTTGCCATTTGCACCTTTGCTCTCCGTCAACCCCCCTAACGTTTGCGCCTTTGCTCCCCTCCCAATGGAAAGGGGATTAGTCCACCTCCAACTTTACCCCCACCCCAAAGTTTCTAATAATTTAACAAAATTGTTGAAAGGAACAAAATTCAGTTTTTGAGTAACATAAAAAAGTAACAAAAATATCAAAGTTGGGCGAAAATAAAATTAAATTGAACTACAAGTAACCAACATAACCAACTTAAGTTTAAAACGTAGAAAAGACTTTATGTGTGTTGAAATTCGCATGTCAGTAAAATGGAGAAAAAATCGATTATAATCTACTTTTATTGTCAGTGTCCGCAAAATTGAAAAAAAAATCGATTATAATGCATGATAAAAGGATTTTGTTGCCTCAAAAGTAATAATATTATATTCCATTTTTAAATGATTATCATCGATTTGTTTACACTTTTGTAGACACTGACAAGGAAACTCAATTAAAATCCATTTTTATTCATGGAGCTTCAATGCTGGTACATCCAATTTGGTTGTTAAGTACATTTCCTCATAGGTGTTTAGAAATTTTGTTGGCTATAAATTGATACTCAAGTGTCGAAATATTAAATTTATAATGCTGCTCTCAGTCCTACCGTTGATGCGTTGCATTCACTTTCAGTTGAAAATTTTGGTCGAAAGACTTATTCTCTGCAAATTTGGCCACTAGTTTTATCATTTTCCTGATTGCTACACAGTTATTCATGTTTTCAAACTTGTTTTTCTCATTATTTTCAGTGAGGGTCTAAAAAACATGGCTTCTAGCGCCAGGTTTGGGTTGTATTTGGTCTAATAGGGTATACGATTCTGAAATTTTTTATCTGACTTTCGATTGCTAATGTTTGTAGGTTTTCTACTAATGCCAATTTTTTTATTAGAGGAGTTGTTACCTCTGCGTTCATAATTAATCCCAGCGACCTGAATTCCTTGCAATCCAACTTGCATTTTGAAAATGATTTTATTAAGTTTCAATTGTTTATTTTCCTTAGGACATTCTACTCCTGTTTCCTATGTGGAACCAGTTTAAAACAAGTATTTATTTCATACCTTGTTATTTCTTACTGTAAAATATCCATGACTAAAACTCACGATAAATTGTAAAGCTGAACTTATATCTGTTTCAGTCAGAGAAATAATAAGGATTGATTGAAATCAGTGAACTTCTTCTCTCCTCTAACTTCGCAATAAACCAGTATATCTCTAGATCAATTGAGACTAGGAAATGTAAGAGTAAGATTAAGATTCATTTTGGTCTAAGAAGTTGCACGAATCTATCCAGCCGAAAATAGATAGCGTGACGAACAGACGTTGTACATCCGATAAATTGTAAAGCTGAACTTATTTCTGTTTCAGTCAGAGAAATAATAAGGATTGATTGAAATCAGTGAACTTCTTCTCTCCTCTGACTTCGCAATAAACCAGTATATCTCTAGATCAATTGAGACTAGGAAATGTAAGAGTAAGATTAAGATTCATTTTGGTCTAAGAAGTTGCACGAATCTATCCAGCCGAAAATAGATAGCGTGACAAACAGACGTTGTACATCCGAAATTACTCTATGAGCTGGCTTGTCAGCCATGAGTGGTTGGCGTATAATAGAAACAAAAAGGGGACCCCTCGGAAAAATTTGGCAAGTAGAATTGAAGGGGAGAGATCTTACACCAACCCTCCCCCCTCGAGTCAAATAACTCCTATGACAATCTAGCTCGACTTCAATTTTCACCATATATACGAATAAACATATAACCTGGTTGGAAGAATTCATGAGTTTTCGGATTGACGTACAGTTCGCACTCCGTCCAGCCCAGTATCTCTGTCAAAAACGGCATCTCTGTCAATTTTCTTGAATCTAACTTTACTTGACTCGTTTTGAATCTTTCTGCGACATAGTCCACTGCCTGCGCCTTTGTGTTGAAAAAATGATGAATCACGTGGTTTTTTAGTCCATAACCCTCCGCACTCTTGACTTCCAAAAGCACAACTACGTCCTCTAATTCACTTGCTTTTTGAACTAAACTTGCTATCTGCATTTCTCTACACGAGGTTCGGTGTGATTTCCAGTCGGCCTTTTGATGCTCGTTGGAACAGTAAAACACGGCGTAACATCCACCACAAGCTTTTAAGTTTAGTTTCAGGTCGCACGTTTGGCATGACTTTTCAAACATGCTAACTTTTGGCTCTGGAACCTCACCCATTTTGAGTCAATGAGAACCTTTTTGTTAAAACAATTTAACTCGTGTTTTGCTCATAAGAAGAATGTGTCAAACTAGTCGCCAAATGAATGAAGCTTATGAAAGTAAACTAAGTCTGCAGTCTACGAAGTATAATTTTAAAAAAATTAAAGAAAAACTAAGAACGAAATTTTCAGAAACTGAAATTCAGATGCGTGACTGAGCAAATATTTACATGAGCATTGAGTTGCAGTTTAGTATTCAGTAACGGTATAACGGGTGGCCAGTCAATAAGCAGAATGGACTAAGAGCAGAATTGGTCCAAGAGCAGAAAAATAGAACAAGATCAACATCAGCGAATCGGTAAATTAATTATCAGAAACGTCAATATAAGCAAAGCAACGAACATTTTATGCATAATTTGAGCAATTTAATCAAAAATTTTTCAAAAAAATTTATAATCAAAAAACTTAATGAAATTAGTCAATTCATGCAGAATTTATTCGTTTTCTTGGTATTTTTTGAAAATTCCAATAATTGTTTTATCAATTAGCCCGTATAAACCAATATAAGTCAATATTTTTCTGTTTTTCTGCTCTTGGACCCATTCTGCACTTGGACCATTCTGCTTATTGCTCCGCCTCCAGGCGAAAGGTATGCGGCCATTAAAAAGACAGGCCACCGGCAAATTAGACGACAATAGTTTTGATGGGACTTAAACACGACGCTACACGCAATTCTCCACGTTGTATTTCTGAGAAATTTCAACCACTTAAAATCAAACTGCTTGTTTTGGGTCTAGGACAACAAGCCGACGGGACTTCTGGCCGAAATTCAAACTTTACAAGCACCTCAAATCACTATTTTTTTTCATCTGTAAAACGTTGCTTTTCAAAATTGTAGGCAAGTTTAGTACATAATAAGCTTTGTTCATGACAATGAATTACTTTTGATTGGCATACGTTAAAAATATTAGCCGGCAGGGGTTGGTAAAAGTCAATTGGTAGACAAAAAGTCAATTACTTGAAAAGATTGTCAGTTAATTGAATTGTTTGCTCAAGCTTTGTCAATTATCAATTAATTACAATTAATTAAGTCTCATTCATAGCTTTAGCAACTTCAGTTTTCGACCAAACGCTATTCCAAACTCCCGATTTTGGCGTTGTTTCAGTAAAATAACGAGTGCAAGTTTCGCGTTGACTAACCATGTCTGTTCTCAACTCAAGCAACGAAGGAAAGTGACACACTCAATCTGAAAAGCAAACACTGACTCAATTAGCTTTCAACTTCGCAAGCTGTTGCTACGAAATCAATAAAAGTTTTACATTCCAAAGACAAAATCATATAAATTTCAAAGTTTGCAAACCTTCAATTAATTGCAATTAATTGGCGGATTTTGTCAATAGTCAAAAATTGGAAAAACAAAAAAGTCAATTAATTGCATCCAATTAATTGCAATTAATTGCTCACCAATTGACTTTTACCAAGCCTTGTTAGCCGGTTATTGAAATGCATAGCTTACAAACAAAAAAATTGCCTGCAGCCATTTTTTTATTTTTCAACTTTCCTTCACATCATTCGGAGGCTTGACTTTTTTGAAAACGCCAATAAATACTGTAGAAAGATCATGAAATTGTTAAATTCTTCCAAAAATTTTTCAAATTAATCATATTTCTTGACTTAATGAGAAAGCTTTCCATTAAGGGACTCCATAAAATGAAGTCCCTTATTTTACAATTCGGCTTCAAGTCCCGTCGGCTTGATGTCCGGCACCCGCTTATTTTACATGAAATGAATAGGTGAATTCACATAGGTACCAATGGTGGCCCGCCAATAAGCAGAATGGTCTAAGAGCAGAATGGGTTCCAGGGCAGAAAAACAGAAAAATCAATTTTCAACAGCTTAGCGGCAAATAAAGTATAAGAATTGACAATATTACTTAAGTTACCAATATTGTATGCATAATTTGAGTAATTTAACACATTCAAAAAAAGTATTCAATCAAAAACATAATAAAATTATTCAATTAATTCATAATTTATTCATTTTATAATTGTTTTTATCAGTTAGCCCTTATAGACCAATAAAAGTTGACATTTTTTTTGGTTTTTCTGTACTTGGACCCATTCTGCTTATTGCTCTGCCTCCGGTATAACGGTATTCAGTTTAGTATTCAGCAAGCCGCTTTTCACAATTGGTATATAGCTTAACACAGTATGAACGTATCCTTTCTTTTTATGTATCCTTGCTTTGGCATAACTTTTCAGTTGTGAGTCATAACTTTGTAGTCGCTTTCGTGATATGCAGTTTTGATCATGGGCCTATTTCATGATGAAGTCGGAAAAATGGAAAAATCGTGATTTTTTGTACAATTGAGATCAGCGAAACTGAAAGGGCGATCTCGAAAAGTTGATTTGCAAAATGATTTATTTAGTTCTTTCTCCCTTTGACTTTTGGACTTTGATCAATCTGAACTTTTCATTTCCTTTTGTTGTAAATTACGGTGTGGATTTGCTGTTTCGCATTTTCGAATCGGTTTTTTGCTCTTCTTTTTTTTGTGCAAAGTCAGCAAATTGAAGGCTTTCTTTTATATTTGGTTTCCTGGTCAAGTTTAGTTGAATGTCTTAACTTCCTACATGATTTGCGATGATTTGCACCTTTTTCTTATTGGATTATTTTTCTTTTGCAAGATTTCCCAGATTCAAAGTTTTCTTGCCAAATCCTTCATTCAAATTTAATTTTGATTTTCTAATAACTGCCTCTAACTTGATTTGATTGTTTTTATTGATTTCCTCTAATATGGTTTCGTTCTTTCTAATGTTCTCGTGCAGCCTGGTACTGGTTCTCGCGATGGCTTTTGCTCATTTTAATAGCATCTAAATAGATGTCCAATATGGGCTCGTTAAAAGTAATTTGATATACACGCTCGAAACTTTTGGTGACAACCCAGGTTGACTTCCAGACAAAAAAAATGCTTATCATAAAAATCCATACAAAACAAAATGCTTATCATACAATTCCGGGTTCTATAGAAAAAGTTATTATCATAGGATTTCCACTCGTGAAAATTCTATAATAAGCATTTTTTTCATTGAAATTATTAAATGGGAGTTCAAAACCAATGCAAAAACTAGAATGGCAGCAGAACCATCAACTTTAGTTGTGCTCAGAGACAGAAAAAAGGCAGATAAATTGGTGTGTTAACTCCGTCTGTCTCTGAGCACAAACGAAGTTGATGGTTCTTCTGCCATTTCAAGTTCTAGTTTTTGCATTGGTTAAGAACTCCCATTTAATAATTTCAAATACTCTTCGGAGTTTTCATTAAGGTTTCCGAAATCAAAAAATGTGTCAACTGTTCTAGAAAATTCATGTTGATTGTTACGCTAGATGTAACGCTTGCACTTGTATTTTGATTCCGACTAAAACTTGATTCCGCTAAAATAAATTGCTTTCTTTTTAAAGTTTGTTGGCACTCTCGTGGTCAGTTCATTTCTAGCTTTAGAATTACAAACCAAGGTAATTGAATTGTTTGCTCAAGCTTTGTCAGTTATCAATTAATTGCAATTAATTAAGTCTCATTCATAGCTTTAGCAACTTCAGTTTTCGACCAAACGCTATTCCAAACTCCCGATTTTGGCGTTGTTTCAGTAAAATAACGAGTGCAAGTTTCGCGTTGACTAACCATGTCTGTTCTCAACTCAAGCAACGAAGGAAAGTGACACACTCAATCTGAAAAGCAAGCACTGACTCAATTAGCTTTCAACTTCGCAAGCTGTTGCTACGAAATCAATAAAAGTTTTACATTCCAAAGACAAAATCATATAAATTTCAAAGTTTGCAAACCTTCAATTAATTGCAATTAATTGGCGGATTTTGTCAATAGTCAAAAATTGGAAAAACAAAAAAGTCAATTAATTGCATCCAATTAATTGCAATTAATTGCTCACCAATTGACTTTTACCAAGCTAGATGTAACGCTTGCACTTGTATTTTGATTCCGACTAAAACTTGATTCCGCTAAAATAAATTGCTTTCTTTTTAAAGTTTGTTGGCACTCTCGTGGTCAGTTCATTTCTAGCTTTAGAATTACAAACCAAATTTGTTTTCGATTGGTGCATATTGGTACAAGCCATTAGAAATCAAAATTATAAGCGATGAAAACATGTTTCGAGCGACTTTGCATTGATATGATTGAAACCAACGAAGAATAGAGAGAGTAAAAACAAACTCCTGCCTACCTTAATTATTTTTGTTCAAACAAAAAAAACATTAATTTTTTGCTGTTTTTCTTCCACATTTAATACTCGTCGTTGCAAGTGAACTGGAATGGTCGTTTTATGAGGTGTATCAAAGCAAAATTCGTTTCTTTTCGTTTGATAGTCACCTATAAAGTAGTCAGTATGAGTTTTTATTGAAGCAAAAAATTTGCTACCCTCGTAGGCTAGGGTAGTCGGGTAGTAAGACTTTCCGACTACGGAGTTTAAAATAAAGTTGTTAAAGGTTTCTGATATTTCGTAACCAAAAATTGTGTCACTTGTTCTGGAAATTTCATCTTGATTGTTACGCTAGATGTAACGCTGACACTTGTATTTTGATTCCGACTAAAACTTGATTTCGCTAAAAAAAAAATTTGCTGACTTTTCAAAATTTGTTGGCACTCTGAATTAAAGCATTTCGCGGTCAGTTCATTTCTAGATTTAGAATCACAAACAAGTTTGTTTTCGATTAGTGTATATTGGTACAGGCCATTAGAAATCAAAATATTAATCATTCAAAACATTTTTGAGCGCCTTTGCATTGATATGACCAACGGAGATTAGAGAGAGTAAAAAAACTCCTGCCTACCGTAACACACAAACTTACTTCTGCCTTTTGTCTGCCTCTGAGCACAACTGAGGTTGGTGGTGGTTCTGCTGCCCTTTCAAATTCTAGTTTTTGCATTGGTTATGAACTCCCATTTAATAATTTCACATGCTCTTGAGATTTTGCTGTCGGTCGTGATATGTAACATTCGCCCAAATACTATACAGCGACGGAGCGTAGAAAAAGTACCTATTAACGACTGGCAGGCGTCAGTTACCTTAATCCTACTCGTTTTTCACCATCTCGACCTGACCAGTTGATTTTCTGGTCTGTTTAGGGCTAAGTAAAAGTTACTATTTTTAGGCCATCAGTCAAACGACTTTTAATCAGCTTTCGTTTACATGCGAATACAACCACATAGCTGAGTCTCGGAGCCTCAGACTACGTGATTGCTATTAAAAACACGGCTCGAATACCCTATTTTAATATGTTTTTGGTGACAGCTCTATATTAAATCCATTCGAGATGGATTGACCCTTTCCTCTTCCTAGCTACTCATATTCTGAAATATCAAATAATACGGGTGTCAAAGTTCTATGGCATCAGAGTAGCTAAAAAGTTAGTTTACTACAGTCTTTCACCATATAACAGTCTCTGGTGGACCAAGCCTCCGCTTCCGTGTTCTCCTCGAGATAACGTTGTTATCACTCCCAATTCGTGGCACGGGAGGGTACTGCTCTCCACCACCGAAGCCTCCTTTCCACTATCTTGCTTCACTAAGGATCTTATCGTGCGTGACTGTCACAATAAGAGGCTTCGTTTTTCCTTGTTCTCGTGTGACTGTTTTACCCTAGATTTTCTGTTGTTCTGTTTTTTTTCAATTTTTTTGGTCAAAATGGCCGTTTTTCGTATTTCTGAGAAATACTCGCTGGTTAAT